ATCCTGTAGCAGAGCGGCATTGTGAATTTCCGTGAGATTGTCGGTCACCTCCAGTAACAAACGGATATCAGTTCGAAGTAGATGAAATTCAGCACTGATCTCACAATTCATATACTTCGTGACAAAACTGTTGATCACGTCAATAGAATCAGTAAAATTTAATTTTTTTACCGCCAGTGATGATATAAAAGCATTACTACTTTCCCCCATTTTGGGGGAAGTGGTGTTAGGAAAGTTAACTAGGGCAAGACAAGCTCGAGCATGCAGAGAGAAAGTTCTAAATTAATTCATCAATCTGCAAGCTGTCCAAGCGAGAGTGAGCTGTCCAAGCGAGAGTGAGCTGTCCAAGCGAGAGTGAGCTGTCCAAGCGAGAGTGAGGTAAGGCTGCATCATGTATAAAGTTTTAGAAAATGACAACCTTCGCGCGAAGCCGATGCACGCTTTTGATGCGTGGTTTGCTAAATAAAAATAGCTAAGGTATTGCGATTTTCTTGCGCGAGCACTTTTCAGACTTTGGTTTTTTTGTTTTTAAATGAATTAGTAATGTGCACACATGCGTGTAAAGTGGAATGCGATGTGCGATGTGCTTATATTTCGAGCAGGGACTTTAAGTTTATTTACATATTTATGTACGAATACGGTAAAAGGCCATGCACTTCCGCGCCGAGCGGAAGTGCATGGCCTTTTATCTGTGATTATATACGACTAAAACATAAGAGATGAAAAAGTGGGAGACGGTGTGCCTACTATGTAGCGTCCTTGGCAGGCAGATTGCTGCTCACCGGCTGCTGCTGTCACCTTTCTTCGGTTAAGTGCTATAGTACATTTATTGCACTTTCCTGTATCTCTCAAAGCACAGTGCTTCGACACGATTTACAGTGTATTCTCAAGTTTTGTAGCTACCACGAACGTTTTACCAAGGGGGGAGTACGTTGGAAAACTGGAAATATATCTGCGACATTCTCAAAGGGGTACCGTTGTGCATTTTGAAGTACCCAAATCTGCAGTTTACGGGGGGGCTTTGGCCCCGGGAGCCCCCCCTTAAACGCGCCACTGCGGATCGACTTCCATCGCGATGATATACCATCACGGTGCAAGGCTTCCTGCCAAGAACGGATTGCAGTGAGAATGGACTGCATTGATCTGCACTGTCAGTGCGGAGGGATGCGACCCATAGCGTTTGATGTGGGCTGTCGAGCGTTTGTACCCGTAACCGGGGATACAGTTACCGCCATTTGTGCTGAAATTCACGGTGAGGAAGCCGGACGATGGATGTTCTGGACTCCCGATGCCGTGCGGGGAGTTTGTCAGAATTATCTAACAGCGCTGCAATCCCGTGGTACGCACCAGAGTAGCGAGCTGGATAGTGGACTGGGCATCTTAAAACTAGGTGAGCGTGAGAGACTGAGATTTAAGTTACCAAAATGCAGCGCCGCTCTTCTTACTCGCCTAAAACGCAGACTTGAATGTTTGCCTGTTGTAGTAATGCACCGTTGCCGCTATCCCGTGTGACGTCACCCTATATACGTAGGCAATCTTGCAGTTGCTGCTGTAAAGTACTGTATTTACACGATATTAAAGGACAGAGAAATCCCCAGGCCAGCCCGCACTTGTCGGTTCCTTTGACATCCATGAGCTAACGCCTAGTGCGGGCGGTTCTGGGAATTTCTCTGTCCCTTAATATCTTGTAAATACCGTAACTGCAACTGTTCTGATGTTTGTATTATCATTTGCGTCATTTTAAGAAATCAGCTTATTTAGAAAAACCTTACCTGGCACGTAAGCATAAAATCAGAAAGCTCGTTTACTACGCTGAATTACTTTACTCTGAGCTGCTGCGCTCCGGTTTGCCAGTGCTGGCCAATATGCATTTTCCTTTGTACAGTCTTTATGTAGGTGAAACTTTTTCGTGGACTTAAATAACGAGCGACATATCCGATTGCTTGGATGTTCGTCGCGTTAACTGAACATTTCTACAGATGTCGAAGAAATGCTGATTTGCCGCCGTCAATCCTGGCAGGTGTCCTGCTGAGCATGGACTGGACTACTCAGTTTTGCATGAGCCGGTATTAAATTTATCACTTTGAACCCGTTCAGCAGTATCCTCATGAATTAAGTATTAACATCAATTACTTGTACCTTTTATTTTGCGGCAGGGCGTGTATACTGTGGCGGCTTATTCTGCGGGAATACGGTGTAAAGCGGCACATCATCTTCGACATCAACCAGATATGTGTACGACGAACACGGCTAACGGTTCTAACACCTGATTTTAACTACATCAATGCGTACAAATTAGGAGCGATACTGAACGGGAATATCACGCGGCAGACACGTTCAGTGCTATTGATTGAAGAAAGTCGCTATTCCGATGAAAGCAGTACTTTTCTACTCAAGCTGCTACTGATCAGAGACATTTTGATTACGAAAGACCTGCGCCTACCGCTGCTTATTGTCAAGAACGGCTATGATTCTGTAGAGCCAGACCGTTCGTTACTGCCGCTGTACTGGAATGATTTAAGGGAAGTGGCCAGCTACATGGTATTGAATTCGAGTACGTGCACTAAAACTTTCACTTTCGCGCACTCCCAAACACATTATTCTATTGTTTTATGACATTCTGGAGCCAAATGATTGGTGTACACTGGCGTGAAGACCGTTTGTGTTGCGCGCAACATCCGGTTCGGGAGTTATGGCACTTAGAAAATTCCAAAAAGTTTAAATGCATTCGGGTGTACCAAAAGTCTCATTATGGACCGATCTCCAAATTTTGCACGTGAATGCACAGGGCCATGAAGATCGTTTTTACACCGATCCACTGTTCTAGCATGTTTTCAAATTTTAAAATTCATTTTAAAATTTGAAAAAAATCATGGAACTCTGGATTTTATAAATTCGGAATCTTTAATTAGCATCTACCAGCGCAGGCTTGCTGTTCTGTTAAGAGGCTATTGCCCGAATAAAGGAAAGAAATGATAAAGGCACTACGCTAGTGGCAATGATGGGTAAGCAGCTGGTGCTGCTCGACTACAGTGCGTTGGATAGAAACGGCAGCTAGTCGCGCATTAAAAGGTTGCCACCACTCTGGATTCACCATGGCCGGAGGATCACGAAGGGATCGCGCACGATGACAGAGATGGTCACCTGGACGTGGTGATTCCGTTTCTGCGGCTGCATAATACAGAAACCGATACGCAACACTGCCTCCGCTTTTTATTCGACCGTTAGTCGCCGTGTGCTGGAAAAGATCACCGCCGTACATGCGCGCTGGGTGCGGACGCTGGTCTATCCCGACGAATGGGACGACATTCGTCGCATTCGTCGGGATAGACGGACGGACTAACCTTCCGCTTCCCCTAGCAATTTTCGTGCGCTTATCTACATTTTGTTTGCAGATTACGACTGGAGCACCGACCATGGGTGGGCATGCAAGCATTTGCGGCTTCTGTGTCCCCTGCGATAACAAAATCGCAGTATTTTGATACACCTCTTGAAATGTTTGTTCCTAGCATAATCTTCGTCAAGCTGGGACGTTCAAATGCATCCCTCATTCTTGTACAACGGTGTCAAGACATTAGCCTTCCCTTAATAAAAAATTATAAATGTACCGAAATCTTTAAAAATCGATGTGACTACCCCAAACCATATTTACGAATGTGCAAAGAACCCATCTGGTTCTGCAGCGCAGTAATAATCGGAAGAAGATTTTTTGACTTGACTGTACGATGTATGTACAGTGCACACAGTACACACGCTTTACAGAGTAACTGCGTACGTCTTGTCTTAGCAAATTGGCCGGAATGTAGATGCAGTAAACGCTCACTTTTATTAATCATGAAAAAGTAAGATTCCGTATGCACTTTTTAGCGACGAATTAAACTGCACAATTTACCACTGCGACCACAATGATTTTATCTGCAACAATGGTGCCTGCATTCGTGCGGCATCCAGATGCGATGGCGAAGCAGATTGTGCCGACCTTTCCGACGAGACGAACTGCGTCCAGCCTCAGTGCAATGACAAAACGCAGTTTCGTTGCCGCATTGGTGTGTGTATAATGGATGGTTTTGTCTGCAACGGTGTTTTTGATTGTGTCGACCATTCGGATGAAGAAGACTGCCAAACCGCGATAAATTCTTGGTCAAATCGGACGCTTTGTGCGGACGGTGAGTTGCACTGCAACGACAGCAGGTGCAACAGCAGCATGGAATTCTGTGGCAAAAACTCCGTTAGGCTAACGACTTCAAGAACCAGTAACATTATTTCATCTTCTACTGTTACCAATGCGGTGTATGCTAAGAACCATGGTTCCACGACTTACCTTCAGACATTCATATTTTTTAGCATATTTTTCAGCTTTTTCTTATGATACAATTAACGGAGGGGCGGTCGAAGCAACAAGTTCGGTCTTACAGATGATGCTCTACAGAGTTTGGAAACTTTTTTTGGGATAATTGCGTTGTCTGACCTTTGATGCGTTGTTGTGTTTCCATTTTACTGATTTACGTATTACGTGCGTCTACAAAAGTAGATAGCAGTGCTAGGGTGCAAAAACAGTTATGTATAATTCTTATTGTTTTGACCTTATTTTTAAAATGTCCTCTAACCGACGGAGTCGGTTATTTTAATCAGTAACCGTGAAAGCTTAGCCTACAAGGTTCTTGTGAGTGAACTGTCAAAAGTAAGATTCTCGGTGGCCTGATCGACAGCTGTCTTTACCTCCGTAAAACGGTAGTGTGTTTGATGATTACGCTCACAGTAAATCCGCAACGGTGCACACAGAATACAGATTACAGAGTACAGTATGTCCAGGTCTCACGAATAGCAAAGAAAAAATAAATCATTATTAAAACCGCACAGAGTCATTTTGCATATGACGTACAAAACAGGCTAGTCAACCTCATCTCAGTGACAGTACTTGTAATTTCTTTATCTTTAAAGAAATTGGAGAATTACAGAAACTAACACTATTGTGAGCACGAGTGAATAATAAAGCCAGTTAGTCAGATATGTCCAAACCCACACAAGTAACAGAAACCCAACAAAACCACAAAATCTATGCGGTGATATTAGCTGGGAAAACGTGGCTGGTGCCGCCTGGTGGCTCGTACATGAAAGCGTGATCAAGATGAATACTGTAGCAGCAGCAGCACTGTGCGGCAGTGTCTGAATGAAAGGCTGGAGTCCTTGCAACAATAAAACCTATGACCATTTTAATCAGGTTAAGTGCACAAAAATTAAGATAAATGCACCTCAAGTAATAATAAAGTTGCATCCAAACCTCGTACGCATTAAAACAATTTAAAAGAGAAGAAATGAAAATAAATTGTGTCAGTTTATGAAGACCAAGCGTGCCAAATGGAAAGTGGTATGAGCCTGACACTGTCAGGTGCCTTGACGTATTAGCCATGGGATTTAGCAAATCACATAGAGGACATCGAAAAGCCGTGCCGGACCATTACGGAAGGGCAGGGAGGGGTCGCAGTTTAGTAATTTACTTGGGAAGAGGAGGCAGAGGTCGCGTTATGGTGGTTTCGTGCTTACGTATCTTCTGGATGTCTCCTGGTTCCAAAAAGATGTCTTTCCCGGCAGTAAGTACCTTCAGCTTTAGCAGTTCCATTTCCACGTTTTCTCGTCGCAAAAGTACCCCTTTTGCTCTTAATTGTTCCATGTGCTTAGCCACATGGAGCACTGCGTCAAGCCATCCTATCAAAAGGCAAACGCGGACTGGACCGTTCTTCGGTTGCAGCTTTTCCTGAACGTCATATACCAGCGTGTTGAATGCTGACAGCGTGTTCCGGAGTTCTTTTAAATCTTCTCTCTCCGGTTCGGCTTCTGTGGCGCTGTGCAATGTTAGACTAAGGTCTAATATTAGTTTCGATAGCGTGGAACAGATTTCTGTGTCTTTTGCGGAGCGATTCCTTTGTGGTATCTCGTTACCACCATTCATAGTCCCCAGCTGTATCATTTTAAGGACTGTTTCCAGATGCTTAGACGGCTGCAATTTAAGTGAACGGCACATATCCTGCTCTGATTCGGCATATTTCCGGCAGGAGAGGTGAGTCTGAAAGGGTTAACGCATCAGACTACCAGACAGACAGACGTTATCAACAGACTACCAGTACCAGCTGCAGCAGTGGGGATGTTTATTCTGTGGAAAGAAGCTATGGGAGTAACTCACCAAGCAGCGAATCATAAGTGCTTCGGCCGAATGCCGTGAATTTTGCAAAACTGCATTGGCAGATTCCTGGGCCGCCTGTACGTTCCTGAGTTTCAAATAAGAAAGCGCCAAATTGCTGCCGGCTGTCACTAGCAGCGGAATCCGATCGCCACAACTTTTGATGATGGAATGATCTAGAAGGGCATTTGCATATTCATATTCGTTGGTTGCCTGAGCAATGGCGTCCATCTGGGAAAGACACACAGCGTTGATTAAGGTAAGGCTATCCAGGTAGCGGTCTGGGCATACCACTAAAAAAGTTTTAGTTATTGTTTTAAAAGTTTAAAACAGAGTGGATGGTGGCAGCGCTTAAAAAAATTTTGTCAACAGTGATTCGGTAAGCGTCCGAAAAGAAGTTTGAAAAATAAAAGTATCGCAAGCTTTGCCAATGTTCTTGCCTTGATATTCTGTTCAAACCGGCAACGCGCATGCGCTACAGGTACTCATACGCACTTTAGAGCTCGATAAGCAAAAGTTACCAAAACGCTTACGTTGATAAGCCCGTCATTCAAAAACAAAATACATGTAAGGATCAGTCTGCACGGAATACGAGTAACAAAATGCTAGGAAGGCATGTTTTCATCGGAATAAGCAGCAGCAGTATGACAACACTGCGACAATATATATTTTGTTGTAGTAATACGGTGTTGCTATACTATAATACTGCTGCACATACGAAAATTTTGCCTTTTAAAAATATACTTGGCCACGCCTAGTCAACCATTGCCGAAGAACTACTTTTACAAGTATTTCCACTGTGTCATCAAGCGAAAACTTATTTTTTATTTATGGGAGGCCTTTGATCTCTTCCTGGTACCATAAACAGGAGAAATGCTTAGTGAAAGACATACCGCCAAATGTTTGTTTCCCTTGTCGACAGATTTTTTGGCCATCATTAGCAGGGTTTCCACGTCAATGTCCGGCAAAGACTGGGCTTTGGTCGTTTTAATTTTTCCTTGGGCAACACGAAAGTCTATGCCGCATCTTAAAAGTTCCTCGGCGAGACACATTTCCGACACCACTCGCATACGATTTATGGCTCCTTGAGTAACTGTGAATTCACAAATGTTTCAATAAAACCGTGGCATGAAAAGTTGCGCAACGTGTTCCGTGATTCGCTACTCGCTAGCATGATAACTTACATTACCAGCTTAAAGCTAGAGTGGTACGTATACAGCAAAATTCGTTCATTTAACGGCTGCTCAGTACTGCACTTTGTAGACTGATTGATCGGTCTGGTGATCAAACGGAGAAAGAATGACACTCATTAGTCATTAATCATTATTATAACGCTGTTCTACTAATAAATTATACGCGTACGCCAGCAGAAAAGCATATACCGTACCGTTCGTTACCCATAAGAGAAGATGGCCGCTTTTATTCTGTACGTGATATGGCCACGACGGACTGACGCCGTGATTGGAGAGGTACATCCCGGTAACATCAGCATCTCTTGATATTCGCAGCCCCATGTAGGCAACATAATGGTATCCGTTCCGGTACAGCGCATCTTCAATAAAACGGTGCTGCTCCGTTTGATGTTGGTTCCGCTCCTTAATCTGGAGGGTCTTTTCGGCCGTAGAACATCCGAAATCTTCGGCCAGCTTTTTTATATTCAGATTGCGTAAGCCATTTTTATCAGCATTCATCAAATGTACTTCAACGATGTCTTCGCGGTTTATCCAGAATATAGTAATCCGCCGCTGGTGGAGCAGTTTTCCGGCAATATCGAATTTCCGTTTGCACGTGAAGATGCCATACCTATGTCCTGATGAGACTGTTTTGTGAAATAGATCTGGTTGTATCATGTTGTTCAAAAGCGGGACGCGATGCTTGTGTGTGGACGTTTGAAGTAATAAATGTTCTTCGACATCAGATGAATACGAAATAAAATTACGCCAGTCACGATTATCTTCCGCAATCACCACTGCCCAGATCAGCCACGGATATTTATCTTTCAACTGTTTACCAAGATCATTTGCCAGCCGCTGATTTGCTGTACTCGATTCGTCATAACTGTTGACCATGAAATCATCAACCATTTTCACAAACTCCGATGTATCCTTATCAGCGTTAAGCTGGTTTTCGGTTTGTCCAGAACTAAACGATTTCCTGTGATACCGACTTTTCGCCGACTTGACCGCATTGACGATATCCTCCAGCTGCGAGTCCAGTTTATGCTCTGGGACTTGCAATGTGGCCATCAAATCACCAGGTTCGGCTTCAAGGCGCAGTTGATATTTTGCGCACCAGTATACAAGTAAACTGTTGGTCAGTAGAACATCGCACCACTCTTGAAAGGCTATGTACTCATGAGTTTCAATGAGATCATCGAGGAAGCGACTGGTCACGTTACTTGTCGTGATTACTTTATGGTATTCAGCTAACACGCAATCGGCATTATCCGCAAGAAAAATTTGTTTGCGACGCTCTTGTGATTGGGAATCGCGTGCAGTAATAAAATTGTCGAAATTGTTCCAAATCCTGCACACCTTCATGCTAATGTCCTGGTGCTGTGTAGCTGTCATAATTTTTTGGGTTTCTTTTTTAAATGACTCCTGTAGTTTTTTATTGGCTTCCGTAATGGATTTATGGACTTTTAATAGCTCATCGCGGGTATCAAATAAGAAATAGTAGTCGACAAATTTCCCCCGTACCGCGCTAGAACCCGGACTGGTCTTATCCAGGATGGCGTTGACAGCCGCAATTACGAGTTTGCCACCCTGCGATGACAGTAGACTCATCAAGGCTTCCATAGCTCTCCGAAATTTCACTGCTTTGATTATCAGTTCCTGCAAGCCAGTGCACTGTATCTGTATATCTCCTGTTGTAATTGCCCTGCAATCAAAATCGTCTAAAAAAATTCTAAATGTATTATTGGCTGGCAAAATTCACCACTGCACCCACCGCAGTACCGGCACGCCGATTCAGACGAGCAACGAAACTATGGTAAAAATAATTATCTACTGTTAGTGAGGAAGCAGCTGCTGTGAGATACATATGTAATTCACGTTGTTTGGCACTGTTATAAACAGCTGCTTGGTTATTTATACTGCTTAAAAACAATCAAACTCAGCAGTGCTGTGAAAAGTGCATGATACAATTCCAGATAACATAAACTCCAGTATAATGTTTGATAACAATGAACAGATAACGCACGTCACGCAACCAGTCGCTACTAACGGCAAGTACTCCTTGCACAACCTGGGATCGCAGCTCGCTCGCAAACGGTAACTTGTATACAGCTGCACCATATGAGAAAATATATATCTACATGTTACGAAATACTGCGAAAAAACAATAGACATTCATAAAACAATTAGCTTCCACGTCTACGAAAATGCTTTGGCTACATGTACAGTTAATTTAACTGGAAATAAATTCTTTTTACAACTCGTTTATTTGCATGCATTTTCTAAATACAGTATTTCATTAATTTTATTGAACTGGATACAACAGAGTTGAACAGACATACAAAACCGTAACGGTGAAAAGAATAACCAATCGTGCCAGAAGGGCGCGCGGGTGGTGCTAGAAAACCGAAAAAAGTAGGGAATGATTTAAGCGTAAATGAGCGACAGGAATAGGCATGCACTATGATCGACGCAAAAGCATAGCCCAAGGCATGGTGCCGGTGAGTACAGGGAATTACAAATTCAGCGGTAATTTAATTTCTGCTAATCCTTAACTGACATTTAATTTCACAAACTTAGGCGATACAATTTCGTTTGCAACACATTTATTCTACAACTTGGCCTTGTTACTCGTAGAGCCATGATACCCCTATGTTGGGTACCTGTTGCTGTTTCGGCTCGGTTACGCTTGCGGCAGGTAGTGGTGGCCTGGTGAGTGCCACTGGATGATATATAGATCGCTGTTTGCATCCCATGGCCATCCGCCAAATATATTCTCATTCGGCTCGTCCTGCTTGCAAAAAACAATTTGATCATTGACGTTAGTACTACCAAATAATTACTGAATCTTCATTACCGAATCCTTAGCCAAATACTTCTTCAATAAACCACGTTAGAATTTATTTGTGAGCATCATGTTGCGCTAGAACGTTAACACTGCTGTTGTAAATAATAACATTAACTTCGGACAGCGTTTGTTATGTCAGTGCCTAGAGCGATAATGGGTTAGATTTCACTATTGGTGAAATCTGTTGATAAATGCCCACTGAACGGCACCTTCTTTGCCGCTGCGAAGCTAAGCCTTCCCCTTGCCCCTTTGCCTAACTACATATCCGCTTGGAAGCGCGCATATATAAGCCGGTCACCTTCGCCGGGCCGGCTCATTATTATCGCGATCCAGCCGCTTGCTACGCGAAAAGTTTTAAGATATTTGATAGCTGGTCTATACCAGATCGTCATGATATACTAGATCGTCTATACTAGATCGTCACTGGTATATACCGCTTAACTCGCTTTGCATCATGGTACTCACAGCTGCTGAAATTAAAGCTATGTCCAAATCGGCCTTGAAAAATAAATGCCACGCCGCCAAGCCAGCCAGAGCAAGCCGAACCGACACTGTCTGACATCGGCCTAAGCAAAGAAACCATTAACGCCTTGGAGGAGGAGAACATCACGGAAAGACAGCACCTGCTTCTTCTTACCCCTGCAGAGGTGGACCAAATTGTGCAGAAGATCGGCGACCGCTCCCGTATTAAGCAGTTCCAAGTGTGTCAGCAGAATGCCGCCACGACCCTAAAGGTCACCAGCCATGCCGGCCATAAACGCAACGTACTACTGGATTTGGGTGCAAAAGAGTCCAAGGCAAAGAAGCAACGTCGCTCGCGCTCAGCATCGCGTTCCAGTTCCTCAGGATCTTCGCGTTGGCCCTCCTCCTCCTCCTCAGATAGCTCCACTACCAGCTCCTCCAGCGCCTCAAGCGGTAAGTCCAATAAAATTTTGAAATCGGAAGCCCGCCGCCTGCGCCGTCCGCATATACATGTCTTCGCGCAAGCCCGTCTTGGAGCCAACAGAAAGTCCAAAAGTAAGATCGGCCCGTTTGACATTAATTTGGACGAATTCTGGGCCAGAAGCATGGAAACCTTGAAGACTCTGATGCAGTCGTCCAATCCCAAGCATGCCAAGGTCGCCCTGGAGTACTGCAGCTACCTGGAGTACCTCGCTCAAAAACGCCGCCACTACTACGCCCGCGCCATTCCGCCATTTGACCGACTTCCGCATTCGAGCTAAGGACCATAAATGGAACTTGGACAATGCGGTCGAGCGTGAAAATATCGCCACAAGCCACTTCAGTTCCCAAACCGCCTGCCAGAACGCGATGACAAACGTCGCAGCGAAACCTGCCGCCTTCGTCGCCACAACTCCCAATGGGAACGCTCGCAACGCCGGCAATCCGCCCCCAGTCTGTGGCCGTTTCAATATCGGATCGTGTGCCGGGTGCAACTATCGCCATGTTTGCTACAAGTGCAACCAAACAGGTCATGGCCGCATTAACTGCCCCCAATTGCGCCGAAATAACGGAACCGCTTAGCCAACTTTGCCTGCCTGCCCATTGTCTATTTCGAGAAGCAACCTACATCCGCACCGGTATGTCATTTTCTCTCTCTAGACGCGCCACTGTTGATCCGCAATGACAAAGCTAGAAACAATGGTAGGAAATCCATATCCCGCAACAGATGTGCCTCCTCGAACTGAACCACGTGTTTGATGTATCGGAATCCGTTATTGCTGGCGAATAGGCTGCGATTCTTGGCCCGTACCGGCAACCGTTTCACGATTCGACAGCGATGCACGATACAAGAGATGGCTGGTTCGTTAGCCGCACCACGGCAAACATTCCATACACATCGTTCATGGGCATGAGGGTCGCCGGTCGGTACACCATAGGCTTGCCGTCTTCCTCGCGGAGTGCCACCTGGACCGGTAAACCTTTTTCTGTACTCTTCAGAAAGCGGTGCGGCCAAAGACGGCTGGAATGAATCCACTCGAATCCACTGGCATTGAAGTCTACGAAGAACTGATCGCCGTCAATATCCTGAACATATCCCAGCCACCATTAGCCGCTGTCACGTTGCACCAGCATTGTGTTCCCGTAGTTCATTTCCCGCGAACCTGACCCGAGCTGTCGCAGAAAAAGAGACGTTACGTTCATTGTGGCTAGCGAATGGTGTGACGAATCTATGCAGGGAAAACAAAGGCCGCAACTGACTATCCTAATGGCAGAATTTAGCAATCAAAAATTTCAAATCTCCGTCTTTGCAGCATCAATTTATTTCCGAAGCAATATGCATGCAATCAGAAAATGTCCGGCTGCTGACCTTCAAGTTAACTAAAGTTTAAAGCCTTTATTAAGTATCATGGTACGGGCACTGCGACATTTCGCCGCGGACAACTAGCCGCAGGACTTTTGGCCGCAGACATTCCGCCGCAAGGCCATCTCGTCGCGCGACGGTTCGTCGCAGGACATTTCGTCGATAGGACCTTCTGCTGCGCGACGTTCCGTCGCATGGCCGCTTCGACGCAAGGAAATTTCGCCGCAAGGATGTCTCGACCAAGCGACATTTCGCCTATCGAATAAATAGTTTACTGAGCTAAATAAAAGAGTCAGGAAAAAAACACAAAAAAACAAAACCAAACAAAAAACCTAAAAAATCCAAGAAATCCAAGAAACCCAAGAAACTTATGAAACCTAAAAAACCTAAGAACCTAAGAATCCTAAGAACCATCAGAAACCTAAGAAAACCAAGAAACTTAGGAAACTTAAGAAATTTAAGAAACCTAACTAGCCTAAGAAAACCTCAGGAAAACTAAGAACAAGCCTAAAAAACTGAAAATCTAGTGAGAATTAAGCGCGGTGAATTTTTTGCGGCGATTAATCGCATCGTTCGAAAGTCCCGAAACGAAATGTCCGCGACCAGACGTCCTGCGCCGAAATATCGCAAAGGTAAAATGTCTCAAAGCATATGGTCCCAAGCCGAAGTGTCCAAGCGTCCTAATGTCCGGCGGCGAAATGTCTTCGCGGCGTAGAAGTCGCGCGTCAAGTTTGATGTGAGTGCGGCGAAATGTCGCACTTCCAACTGTCCGGGTGCGCATGGTACGAGTACAAACTATGCACCGGAACAAAACAACATTTACAAAAGAAACACATCCTCTGTGCCATCCTGATCGGGGATCGTACCCATTACAAAAATCGCGTTTCCCCGTTGTATTTGCATAGATATTCGCTGTTTAAGAAAGCTAAGTTAACTAACGGAAATTACTATCGAATCATGGCTTTCACCAAGTACCAGTTGCATCATACAGGATCTAACTACATTTGGTGAATTTTATATTAGTACTGTAGTTGCATCCATTGCCCAACAAGAGGTGAATATTATTCAACATTTCATGGTCTCTAACGGAATTTGCCGGCACAACAGGTCAGTTCCCAACTATGTACGTAGTAAGTACCATAATTATTATGAAAACAAAAGTTGCGGGACAGGTTGCGCACCGAGCAGATTTAGATCACGTACAATAACTCTGTTAAGTCCTTACATTACAAATGTGTGTGTAAGCGTTTCAGCTGCTTGCTGTAATACCGAAGTCCGCTAATATTTCCATACACTGCGGTCGCGAGCAATGAACAGGATAGCGTTTTTGGCACGGTATCGCATCCAAACCGGATACGGGTTGCTATTGTCGCACCGCTTCCCAAAATTGCTAGTGAAGAAACTTTTATTATTGCAACTACAGTAGCCAAACTCCAGTAAGGAAGACTCTATACCCTTAGGTGAAAACCTTTGGGCTTTTAGGCTATTGGAGAATTTTTTTGTTTAATTTTGAGAATTTTATACTGTTTTTGGTTTGATTTTATGAGATAAAAGTTATCCACCTAGCAATCGAACCCAGGACATACAGTCTCAAAGCCAGACGTAGTACCACCGGGCTATGGGCAATTAACATTAAATATTTGATTATTATTTTTACCGACCATCTAGGCTAAGTAGCCACAACAAAAGTTCGCTGTTGGACGTATCAGATACAACTTAGTCTCAGCAAAGACTTCTACCGATGCCCTTACGGACCTAAGTATGTATCTGTCACATAACCTGTATATAGTATACGCGTCATTGACATCCATATAACGAAAACCGTACATACTGAAATGAAAGACGTATTTGTTGACTGATTGTCGTGTTTGTTTGTGTTTGTTTGCTACCCTGCTTGTATGTCGATGAGTCAACTTGACTCATCGGCAAACAAACACGATACTCACGGAAATAGGGAAAACTGTCAAAATTCCACATTCAAATCGTAATCCAAATCTGAAACCTATTCGCATTCCGGGATGGCAATTGTCCCAATTAAATATGCACTCCCGGGAATACATTTTACCAGCAAAACCCTCCTTCTCTGTTTATTTATAAGTGTTTGGTGTACTGGTGCTTGGCAGATGAATTAGGATCGACGCATCCCACCAGTCATTCGCCCACCGAATGGCGACACAGGTTAGCGATCAAGAAAAGCGCACGATGGTATGAACCCACAATTTTTCTATCGTCGGAGAACACTCTCTGCCACTATTCGCAACAAGCTGATCGCCACTGAATAGCTTTATTTTTAACTCGGTACATTTTTTGCAGATCTTTGTACTTTAAGGATTACCCACGATTATGCTATCGGTCTTCTGTAGTTAAAGAACTCGTAACACATTCTTCGAGAAAAATATGGCAGCTGCTGGATATGTAAAGCTACAATCAAAAAATATAAATAAAATTGATAAAATAAACCACAATGCAGAATTTTATATATAATACATTTTCATGTACTTAGCGAAGCATCAGCAGCTAGCTCTATGCCGCAGCTAACTTCATAGGTCTTGGTCCGGGTAAATATTTGCGCTCATTCGTGAATGTGTGAATCCAGTAACTTGATGGCCAAGTGAGTAATGTCTCCATTTTAGCTTGTCGATAGCATTCGATTTCTCCTGTGCGAAAACTGGAGAAGACCGAAAGGTCTGGAATCAGCTCTTCTTTCCCCGCGGTTTGTAACCTGCAACAAAGAAACACGAATAAAAGGCATCGGCGCTAACGTTCCCACACGCCAAACTGGACGCTTTACCGGATGCTTGCCAAATTAAGAGGAACAAACTCTTTCTTCTCTATGCAACGGAAAACTACATACCGGATACACGGTTGGCGATAGGTTCCGGAACTTGGAGTCGGACTAGGCCATTTCGAATAGTGCCGGTGCGATACAGCATATCCCCGCACATCACCCGGAGTCCAGTGGCGCACAGGGAAGCGAAATGTTGACAGTTATTTTGCACCAGATTGTAATCGCCGAGAGAGAATTTTTCCGCCGCATAATCGATGGCGGCAGCGACGATCTCTTCCGGGCTACGCAAGCGCAAACGATATTCCTGCAAAATTTTCTTTAATCGTATGTTTCCATTGCACTGCACAATGCATATCGATAACGGTAATATCTGCATTTCGATCACTGCTTTTGCACGTACAATAATTTCCACTTTATCATCGTAGCTGTTAACGAAATCCGGATAAAATTCGCCTAAGCGAACCCCGGCATTCAGTTTTCTTTGCACTAAAGTATGTGTTTTGGAATCCGACTGAGGCTCATCGTTTCCCTGACCAGAAAAGTGCACCACCTGCCGAAGAACGAGTCGTTATTTTTGGGGCGAAGGAAACTCTGTTGCTAATAAGACAGCATCGAGTGCGAAAGGACTGTACCTGCCCTTGACCAATGTAGATTCCTTCGTGATATTCTTTTCCAGCAAATGGCCCTCGAATATGATCACCTGGCTGTAAAAACGTATCTGGATAGCGGGCACAATCAGGCGGTAGTTCACGAACGCGGAACGCGAGAAACCTAAAGACAACCACCGTATGCAATGGTCAACGTTAACCATATTCTTAACCTTAACCGTTCTCTCAATAGGGTCTTATTTAGACATATATGACTTTACAAACTCTTAAGATTAGTTACATAAGCACATTGCAACCTTAACGTTTGACTGCAGGAACTTGTAGCTCTCAATATTCAGTATTATAATCTCATGCAAAATCTGGCTGGTTGACATAGTTGGAGATTCATTACGAGCGCATTGTGGCTGTCTGTCCTTACCAACACCAGCAAAAAAACTAAACCAGAATAAGTCTTCCGCAGCACTGTTTTGGCTGCGAAATTTCCAGTAAAAGCCCAGTTAGGACAAGAAAAAAATCAACATCGGAAGCCTACTTTAACCCCGTGAACTGAGCTGGATCCCCCAGTTCTCGTTGCATGCTGCGTATCCATGCTTCCGCTCTGTCTAAGACCAGAAATTGTTTATACGCCAAGAATTCTCCGTTCCATTCCTTGTTCTGCAATAGAAACCGATCAGTTCGTAGAGTATTACACAGTCGAATCAACGAAAACTGATGCGAGCACATTAAACCGGACCAACGCTCCGTATCTCTCCGAACTAGTGTCCTCATGCAGCGGTTCCGGTTCGGCAAACCAGTATACGGCATGCCAGAAAACCTTTAGAGAATGAATAAAACAATAACCGTAGGTTGCCATCCGTTTTCTTCATCATAGTGTCGCCGCTTGCAGCTTTACCTTGGTTATAATAAAAACATACGCTTGGCCTTTGCACGTCATACCGTAGACGCGCTGGACTTCCTCGCCGCATAGTGTGTTTTCGAGGGAACGCCGGATGTAGTCATCGAACGCGGCCGACGACATGATGCAGTTGATGAATATGACAGCGACACGTATACAGCAACAGTTACTGTTTGTCGACTGTTAACAGGAAATATCATAACTGATTTGCAAATATGGCTGACTTGGTAACTAAACTATTCGGACGAGTGACTGTATGAGCGCAATTTCATAAGCGCGTAATATATACTGGTTTTTATATGAATCACCACGGGAGCAGGCGATTTTTGACGTCAAAGCTAAATCATCATACAGGCATATAAGCTCCGAGCTTATCATCGGGCCATCGGCACCAAAAATTAGAAAATGCCGGTGAACATGATGTGTGAAAATCAGTGCCTTAAGGGTTGGTTACACACATGTACGGTAGCACGTATTCCCACTCTTACAGTTATACTTCGATATGACTCAACGATGGATCAATTGAATATACGTAGTAAGTACTATCTGAAATTACGGATCGCTTACGTACAATGCTGTTGAAGTTGGACTGACGATCAAAGCCAGATTTAATGTGTAACGGTGGACCGGCAACTACAGACAGTAAAACTCTCGTGATCCTTATTTTGCATACAGGACTTTGTTCCGTCCTCGACACCTGATTCGGCTTTTGCTTAGTATGCTATGAACGGTACACATCCGTGCCTGACGATCTGCCACCAATCATATCTATTTCTGAGCCATCTGGATAAGTTTGCGCACCCGGACCACTGGGAGTGTGACATAGCGCCGCATTTAAATTCGACGCGATTGGTTTTCCAGGTTTTCTTTTATTTCTTGTGTAGGTCGTCCACCTCTGTATGCGTAATAGCTTCCAATCCATGCAAAATAGGTTATGCTTAAAAAAATTATCAAACCTAAATAATTCGAACTATTTTTTACATGTGAATTTATCGGTTTGTATGCAGCTGTGCTCTTTTCAGTGCCACACAGCCCAGTAAGTGCAAAATGCGATATTTTTGCAAAGACGTGCAGAAGACGTGCAGCACGATGTTTTGAAATATATTAATAATATGTACGTATTGTTTGTATATTATAATACAAACGTTTCCTATACTTTTGAGGGGAAGTCTATAAAAAAGGTGCTATGCAATCTCCCAGCTGCGAAAATCCTTTCTACCAGTTGTCCTTTCATCTGATTATCGAACAACCAGTATTTCCATAACTGTAGTGTACGGATCGCGGGTGTATTCTCTAAGGTTATACTGCGGTTATTATATCGATGTGCCAAATGCTTTACAACACATTGTTCTGGAACGAGCAATCCTGACAGCGAGCTGTCTACAGGACAGTGTCCGGCACGACTGGTCGGTGTACTCTGGGTCTCTCTATTACAGCTGCTAGAAACACATGACGTGAGAATAAGTAGTTGCATAGCGACAGCTGGTGTCGTTTCTCCATCCGACTCTTTACCTAATGAAAATCAAAAAATACATCACATAAAGGATTCATAAGTTACGCATTGTTGAAACCGTTTGCTTTCGAATGCATTGGGTTTCCGCTATTATGTGAAATCGCTACACATGCGTGTAAGGATTTCTCGTAACACCGTAAACTGCTAATGCTTTTATGAAATGCGACTCAAAACTCCATAATCCGTGTCACGGTTATTCATTGAAGCCTTGTACAGATTGTCGTCGTAACCTTGTTTCACGGAATTTCTGCTGACGCGTTTAATTATTCTGGCTAAATAATATTATTACTCATATTATCTCGCAAAAATATTTAAACGCTTCTGTTGTTATTATAAAACATTGCTGGACATATTCTGGTACTGTGTAATAATATCCGCGGTAGATTGAGCAGACTCATAGGCGATGCAAAATCATAACCGTGGTTATCAGAAAAACTGCCAATCCCAGATCCTAATGCCACTAAGAATTTCAGTCTCTTCGCTTCCCGGGCCGCCAACCGCGATAACAATGAATAAAAAAAAATACACTCCTCTTATGAACGTCAAAGTTAAAATAACAAACATCTTGTTTCCTTTATCTGTATACTTACGCCAGCATTGCTGACTTGCCTGCGCGCACTGTATGTGTACACATACGCAACATGCATGTTGCACTACAACACCTTACAGTCAACAGTTCACAGTCAACAGTCAACCGTCAGTCAATACGGGCGCCGCACACAGGAAAGAAGGAAACGGCAAACATGTGATGATCTGATGAACTACATCGCCAAACAAACAAAAGTTTCGCAGAGATCAAGAAAACTAAAGCCGGTTAGCAAAACGGTTCTCGAATTTTTCCGGAAATGTTTTGATAAATACCGTTTTTTTTATGAAAAACACTTCGAGCCTGATTTTAAATGCACGAAAATATTTTTAACAAAAAACACTTTTAAATGCACGAAAATTTCGAGGCACGAATAAGAATTACGGTACTGAAGGCATTTATTTCATATTACTTTGTTCGGTTAGATTACCGCAAAGGTACTTACTGTAATTGGGCAGTACGACCAAATACAGTTTAAAGAGTTGGGATTGCTGCAGTTGAAAGTTTTTGTTGTTTGCTCCTTCGACACGAGGAAAATGTCATATGGTAAGAGCCAGGAGTATATCCGGATATCCGATCTTGCGGTAAAAAAGCTGTACCTAACTTTGGGAACCATTCTACTTTTGGCCAAACTACAGATAGGTTCGTAATGCTTCTCTAAAATTTTCAGTTAAAATTAAAAAGGAAAAATTCAAATTAAATTCAAATTAAAACCTGAATGAATTTCTCGAACTAGGAACGCAAGTCTGGTTGCGGTAAACCGTGCACTGGTGATGATAATAGCCACCGCTCGGACTGTTCCAGGCAGAATGATGAGTGCAAAAATTTAGTTTATCACTAGAACCAATTTTTTGCTCCCTTCTCGTTAGAGATTTTTACTGCTTTTATATTGAATCACCTCGGGAGCAGTCGATGTTGACTGCAAAACATGGTCATCAAAGTGGCTTCCGATAGGTTGTCGGCCGGCGCTTTTTAATCCTTGTGGAAATTTAAAAATACCAAGGCATTAATTTTGTGATGATGCTGCGAAGGTCTGCACAATGCAGTGTGACATACCTCCAGGCATGCCGCATGCCGTACTGATCGCAATAATCACGCGCTTATATGCGTGGCCATTGTTCTACACGATTCTTGACACCGACCGGATCCGGCGTGATAATTATATCGCCGATCGCATGATCAATATTTCCAGACATGTCAACGTACGACTACTTCGATTTCTGCATCCTCTTACGACAAAAATCTAATGTCGTCATTCTGTTGCATTGTAATATCATCCATAAGCGCCGTGATGCGTGAAGCAGTCAACTTAGCGCTAAATGTAAAGCGAGTGACGTGTCATGTCGTGTGCCATACTTTGTTCGGGGGCATCGTGGGTTTATAAGCAGCCGGAACTAGCGTCACAACTGTAAGTACATAATGCACATGTTAAGAAATTTTACACAGAGCAATATCTGTCGACTGAGCTGCCGAAACAAAATAATGGGATAGCGCTACGCATGCGCCAAGCAGTGCCATTCAAATTTAAAGCAATCAGTCATCAGACGTCCGTTGCGCTTTTTCTGCGGCGACATCTACTGTGTTAGAACAATCAGAAAATCCTCCTGTGACTTTCCGATTGCGATTCCACAGTTATAAGGTTTATCTTCTAAAGAAGCTGTCGCGTTTTGCCGATCGTGGTTTACTGCATTTTCTTTGACGATTAAGACAACTTAGCAACAGTTCCGCATTTGAACGACGGTTAGACTTTGGGTCAGAATGGCTTCGGAGGAATTCGATGCCTATATTCGGATGGCACTAGATCAGGAGTTGCACGGTAAAGAAGTCAAGCGCGTATACGGCGTAACGTGCAAAGGCCAAGCGTATGTTTTTGTGGTCACCAAGGTAAAAATTGTCAATCCAGATCGTACGGCATGTCGACCTAAACATTAACCCATTCACTGGCGTTAATCTGATTCCAGGTTGCCTGGTACGGTGTGTACTGGTTTGCCCAACCAGAGCCAGTGAAATCCACTCAAACATCTAAAAAATATGGAGCATTCGTACGTATTGTACACGGTCTACACAAAGCTGAGCAAGAAGGCATATACTGTTGTGCGGTAACGTGCTTTCTACAGTTTTCAGAATGGTCAGGCGAATGTCTGACGTACCAGCAGTTTGTCACGTTACAAGGCGCGGACAACTGGATAAGCAGTGTTCAGCGGGCCGTTGAAAATCCCGTCACGATAAACGATGCCAAGTAAGTCGTGTACCGTGCAGTCAGCATTTATTCGATTTGCCGGTACTTCGATGTTTCTACTTGCAGTATTAGTCTTTGCACTCATATAAAATAGTGCGAAACGAAAGTTTGCAAATAAGAAAAACATTCATGATGCTCACTTCGTTCGCAGATTTCTGTCATTCCGCATTCATGGCCTACCAGCCGCGTGCGCACATCAGCCGGATACCTATTTAAAACCAGGTGATCATATTCGCGGACCATTCTACGCCGACCACCACGAAGCCATCTATCTGGGCGACGGGAAGGTAAACTGCAATTTTACCTAAAGCTAAAGGTTACGCAGACAATTCAAAATGTTCCAGAAAACATTGTTTCTTGGTACAACAAGATCAAAAACAGATTATTTTAGCATATAGAAAATAAAAAAAATGTCAGCGGTCGGCAGTGGTACTTCATACCATCGAAATCGACATGATTCAGCAGAGTTCGTTGTTGACAGGTACTGCACGTGTCAGGTCACAACGATGGTGGAACGCTGCTAGGCCGGAAAAAAGCCGCGTGTGCACGTATTGGAAAGTTTTATGGAGATTTCATTCATAGCTACGATGCGCCGGTGGAACTCGTCGTAAGCTGAGGCAGTTTTCATTCAAAAGGTGAAGTAATAATAGTTGTTTGCAGGAATACTGTTTACGCTTGCGCACACGCAAAGAGATTGTGGACACTGCTAAAGCGTACGCGGCAGAGAAATTCCGCAACAAAGAGTACAATCTGTTCTGAAAAAACTGCCAGCATTTCGCGTCACTGTGCGCATCGGGACACGAATTTATGTGTGAAGATATGCTAGAGCCTCGCACAGCACTTTCCGGCGGTTTCAGTAGACTCCGGCTACATTTGACGAACCGCTAAGTGTGTCCATTTGCTCGTAACCAAAACTTTAATTAGCGTTATAAAGAAAATATTACAGTTTGTACAAGCTTTTCTCAAAATAAAACATCGGCCCATCAGCTGTTTATCGATCGATGCATTGTTGACATTCCCGATTTGATTCATTAATATTAATTACCATGCAGAAGCTTTAGCCAAGCAGTGCACGGGGTCACAAGTACAGATACCTAGATAATTATCGCGAATACATTTTTAAAATTTTCAAAAAAATCGGTTTGACTTGGTTAGAAGTGGCTTTCCGAGGGATCCGAAGTTACCGAACCGTCCTAGTCGATTTGGAAAACCAATCGATTAACACGGAGTGACTTCTTCTTAGGAGCAGTAGATTAGTTACTCTAGTGGCGATTAAATCAATCACTCACACTATGTACGAGACCTCGTTATACGAGTATTAGTCACGCAGATAACTGCAGCTACATACATGACTTGTAAGTATTGTATGACAATTCTCCGAAGCTGCCTTTTAAGCGTACGTACGGGTACAAGCTCTGTCATGGAATTCCACTAGATACAATCGTGGTTCTGTGCATCTGCAGTAGCAGCCATTACATGATAGCTTGACAGTGATACTAATACTGCTCATACAGACTGTTTTAAGTAACTAGTGATCTGTATTGTCTGACTAAACAACTCGGGGTCGTCAGAGGGCGAGCCTGATGCGTGATTCATTTCCTACGCAGACGAACTAGATCGCTTACACTCTTCGAAGGAAGTGTACGAACCAATCCTTCCCACGTAGCATGGACTATTTAGTATTAAGTAACAGCACTCGAGAAATATCCAAAGAATTACACTGGATCTGGGCAACTTTGGAAGCTTTGAATCAGAGTGTGAAACCTATGTTAAACGGGAATCGTAGTGTTAAACTTCATACCGAATATGGCCTCCTTGCTCGTTCCCGTTATAACGAAAATCGGAGGGTCGGTTGCGCACCAGTTGAGTAAAGTGGCCGTGGACCAGCTGAATGACGCGCTGAACAAGGTCGACCCGGACTCTAAAGAGGCCCGAGAGGTTGCTGCGTGGTACTACCTAACGTTCGACCAGAAAGTGGAGTTACGGAATATTGAGAACCGTCTGGAGGAAGCGATTATCGATATAAAAAATTCCATGGGCACCGAAACGGCCAAATTGCAGGCAATCCTCACGTATAAACCAATCGATGACCGGCTGCATTTGCTGTGGGAAGCACTACGCAAAATGCGTGCAGCTGACGAAGCGACGTTCGCGGGACGACGCGACCAATTCTGCCAGATATACCGCGAAATTAATCCGGAACAGTTATTGAGTATTTTATGCAAGGATATCACGGAGATCGGGGTCAACCGGCAAATGTTGACGGCGATGATTGACAGATGTGATTATGCGGTGTTCGAGAAATGGTGCGAGATTGTTAAGCTGGACGTGATAAAAATGTGTATCTGCATCCTTATCTACTGCAACATAGCCGCGGAAACCGACAAGACATTCCAGAACAACGCGCAGATGATGAAAGAAGATGTGGAGAACGCTGGGCGAATGTCAATGAGTATTTTTGAAACTCTTGAACTTGCAAAAATCATTTCTAGTACTAAGTTCCTCCAAGGCAACGAATCGGAATTAATAAAGATGGTCGATGGATTTTTGATTAATGTCTGTGAGCTACAAGCCACTGGCAATCAAGAGTGTGCTGGAGAATTAGGGAAACAACTGGCTGAGAAGTATTATTGGATGGACTGGGCTGTGGTGGTCTTCGAGAATCCAACGGGCAAAACGCAGAATATTACACTAAACTGCAATGGTCTCGCTGATCATGTCTTCTTGGCTGAATCCGTCCATTCCAAAATGCTAACATCTTGGATGACACCTAACGCGGTGGATAAGCCGACACACCGTGTAATATCATCGGGCTGCCATTACGGTTTACTACTTTGCCGGCGACAATATCAGTATTCTCTGTCCGGTCGTCGGCAGCATTTTGTTGCCGTTTTCTTTAAACGACGGGATTATACAATTCTGCATAAACCAGACCTTGACGAGAACTGGATGAGGATGTCCATCGAGGAAGCTTTTCCGCCTATCGATGGCCTCAAGATTACTGGCAGTCTGCTACGAGTAGGAACAAACATGAATGACGGATATTATAACAGCGGGAAGCAGAGTAGTACGAGTTTGTGTAACGTGCGGCATTCTAAACTGGAACTACGAATTGATTACGGAGATGACACGCAGGAGGACCAACTGGGACTGTACCCGATAAAAAAGCTTGAATGGCTCCAACATCTTACGGGCACAGCGCTCTCCGCCTGTAAGTTTCACGACCGAAAGATCCAAGAGTGGTCTGCGTGGAGGATACCTGGAACTACTGCAGGTACGCTAAGTAGCTGCGCACGTAGGCGATATCCACAGCGATCTGTTAATTCGATTAGGGTTTTCTCGTCAGTTGACTCAACGACGAGTGCAGCATTTAAAGGTCAACGATCCTTAGCTTTTTACCGACCTCAGCAGCATAAAGTAGAACATAACCGGTGAAATTCAAACTGAATGACTGCTTCAGCTGCTGGTGCTTCAGAAATTACATAGGTTTTGTTTCACGTAGATATTCACAATCTGTGTATCCTGAGTAAACCTAACACAATGTTTTCTTAAATATAGCTGCGCAGTTGATATTATGGATGCTTAATATTATCTCAATATTATAGGTTTGGATCCGGCTTCAGTGGATTTCCAGATCCTTCTGAAAACTGTCTACGCCCAGTTTGAATCAAGCGATTTGCAAAAGGCGCTTGCATGGATGGTTAAGAACCGGGCGGACCGATGGGGGAAGAGTATAGCAGCGGTGTGCCGTGACGAAGAGCAGTTCCATTGTTGGGCTAACACCGATGATATCGAAGTACCGGATACAGAGCGGCAAAGAATCGAAGATTGGTTGGTTAATATCTATGACGAGACGGATCCGACAGAAGGAGCGCTGTACTGCAATGATACGGATAAGAAGCACTGGCCGTCAGTGTATATTGAGGGAATACCATTCCACGGGGAGCCATAACGGACTGAAGGATGACGCTTTATGAAAAACGGAGAGTCACCATAGAAGACTGGCAAAATGCGGTTTTGGTGATAACTAGTTTACAGACTAACAGTACTTTAAATACGATACTGTAAGCAACAATTTATATAGACATTATTAAGTGGGCCGTCTGACAAAAAATCGCTTCGTCTAGTTTGTTTGGTTCCGTTTCGGCGCATTTCGATTCTTTGCACACTGCACTTTGAAGTACCTACAACTTTGCGCATGATTAGGGAAAATGGAAATCAGATTTCGGATTTGTGGATAATTGAATAATATAGATAATGACATATATTTGCAAATATTGATTTTGTGTTCAGAATATTTAGCCAGTCAATAGACACAAGTACAACAGTGACCAAGAACAGCAGCATCCGTGTTCCCAGGCTGACCTGTTCGGTGATACTAATGTTATAATTTAATGCGACATTTTAGCTAGGAAGTAGTGTATCCAAGTTTTCATTTTCCATATTTTAATGGATGTTGCCTACTAAATATGCTTTACTCGTATATTTACTGACATTATAATTAGAAATTATAACTAGAAATTTTGTTTTAGGACATTATTGTCCGTATACGGTATAAAAAGGCTAGTCAGAGCAGGCCAAGAAGCTCGGTGACATCAATGACTTCATGGCAGTTGTACAGTTTGTAGATTTTCACAACATCTAGTGGACTGAGATTTTTGTGCTGACCAATCTTCGGGCGGCTTCGATCTTGAGGTATAAGAATGGGCTCGGATTCGTCTATGGCATATTCTTTAGAATTGAAATGCAGAACAGAGCTGTAATCGTATGGAAGGCCAAACGTTGAAACCGGGCGCTTTGCAAATTCTTCTAATTTGTCTGGAATATAACAGAACACGTACACGTATTGATTGGGGCCACATTGCAAAATATTATTATATGCCCTGCATTTTTGACAAGGCTAAAACCCGGTGCATCCGCCAACAAGCGTCAACGCACCCAATATGCGGATGGGTGAAGTGCTCTGAAATCGCGAGACATTGCGTCTGACGGTCTGTGCATTTTAGCAATAAGGGTCTGTCCGCCGGGTACGTATGCCTTATATTGTACCTTTCTGCACGTTTTCCAGAAGAACCTTGACGTAGTCATCTCGGTCCATTCCATGCGCGTATGTTCATAAGAAAGTCCCAGTGTCCGTAGTAGGTGGCGTTGCACACTGCCATGATGTGTCAAGCAATCCTTGACCAAAGACACTTCTTGAGAGCCGCCGATCCGCCCGATGCCTGACGAACATCTGAAAAACACAACAAGTATGATAATTATGGCAAGTGTGATTATACGTAATCCAAAATGCTCCAGGCCTCACCCGTGATGCTTGGTAAATAACACAAAATCGTTGTTTTTGTCACGATTAGGAAGTTCGAGGAAAATGATACATCCAGCCGTCATTTTTGTGATGACATCCATAGCTTCGCGTATAATACGTTTGTCCTCCGCAGCTAACCAAATAAAAGCAAAACTAAGGAAAAAATAGATTTGCTGAAAAAAGCATGCAGTAAAGAATGATGGAGCGCACCCGGACATCTGGGAGTGTGGCATTTCGCCGCACTCAAAAATTCGACGCGCAACTCAGAGCTTATTCTTGCTACATAGAATGATTTTTCTCTGAATGTGGAAACGAAACCAGGTAAGTGCATGGTATCCAGTCAAATACGGGCAAAGGATGGTCGACTTATCGGGGACAAGTGTATCTGCATGTACTATATTGTACTGTATTGAAAGAAACGTTAACCCACATTTTTTAGGGACGCACTTACTGTAGGTATTCGGTTGGAACCAATAAGGAACAGTGTTGTTGGGCCACAGTAGGTCCTTGTTAACTGGCGGGCTATGAGTCCTCATTGTGGACGTTGTCAATGGAGCGCACGGTGTGGATGAAAATATTTCTGGAGTTGATGTAGCGAGCGGTGCAAGTGTGGAGGGACCGGTATTAGCCGGTTCAACTACAATATCGATGCTGTCGAGACTGCACCGTCCAAAATCGTTGTTATCAATCTCAGTTCCACACTGCAGTCCACTGCAGCACGGCTGCAGCAATGCAGGCCCGCATTTTTCGCCGACTGCACGGCAGACTGCCGATGGAACTGGATCTATAGCGCCCGCGCTATCTGGTTCATCGTCGGTGCCATCCGATTCGTCGCTGTGCTCGGTGCAAGTTCCAAATTTATTTTGGTTTAAATCGGTACACCGCAGTCCGCTGCAACACGCTACTAGGCCTGGCCCACATCTATGTCCTTTGATACGGCACTTATCTGAACCGCTACTGCTCGTAACCTGTGTTAACAATTCGAGTAACCCGATGGCCTGATTATGGTGAAAATGAGGCACTTTTTTTTAGTCCGTAAACGAAATATGGTGCAGCTTGGAATTATATAATGAACACCCAAGTAAGTAATCGAGAGTTGTTACAAGACCGGTTTACATTTACTGACGTGCATCGGTGACAACCTACCATGGACGATATCCCCAACATAGCAACAACCATTAGAAACGCAGAAATGTGGGTCTGATACCCTTTGTACCAAACGAGGGCCATTGCAACAAACAGATAAATATATGGAGTACAGATAAATACAGTGTTCAGTGTTTAAAGGGAGTCAAGTATTGCGGGAGCAGTAAAATTATTATTGCAAACCTACTAAAAACAAGTGTCGAAATATTGCTGTTGCGTTACATTTTATGGTAAACATTTATGAAAAGTCAGCAGTTATTATACTGAACGCTGGTTTATGGATAGCACTAACCGTGTCATATATCCCTGGAAATGAGTATTTGACAAGTATTTTATTAAGAAATAGCTACGCCATATCTTTTAGAGTGTATTTATGTACGTGCCTAAACTACTTTGAAGGCAGAGCCACAAATCCGCGAAACTCTTCAACCGGTAGCGGAAAGCTAAAACGTCAGCTGATGCAAAAGCTATTTTCTTCAACCCTTTCCGAAAAAAATGCACCGTCGACGCTTTTCCAGCACAAAACTCCGCACGAATTGTGCAGTGTCCGTGAAAATTAATGAATTTGCTAGAATGCTGAGCAAGCTTAGCAGTTCCAGTCGCCATCCCTGGCAGCTGAGGTATGTTTCAGGAAAACTGATAGTCTTTCGGTACAACTATCTGTACATACTTGAAGTATACATGATGCTAAAATTGTACTTTACACAAAAAAATTGTATTGTAAAAATTGTATTCTAAAATTGTATTGTACTGTACTGTAATTGAACACATTTCAGATGACCGCTACGCTTCTTTATGGCGTTTGCAGCCAGTTGCGCATGTTATGCGCACATTGTTAGAACCGTTTAAGCGCGCAACATTTGGTTACTTGGCACGCCCATCTGTATATACATTAGTACAGATAATTCTTTGAATTACGCGCAATAGACAAACGTTTCATAATTTCAACACGGTAGCACTACCGTGGCAGATAACCCATGAACCTGCTGCGATCAACATCCACTGCATGAGAAGATATACCTGATCGAACAAAACACACGCTCATTACTAAAATGTGCTAAAGAAATAAATGCCATTTACACCTAAACATGAGAAATCAATAATTAGAACAAGTAGAACAATTCTTCCATCTCTCTAGAACACCCAACCGTTCCCAGAACAGAAGCGGTATACGCTGCCACACTTATACGCTGCCACAAAAATTCAGTAGCGCGCGCTTTTCCTGTTTGCTCTGTAATACGCCGTCCAACTTCACGGATGAACTGATGGGTACTGCCGCCGCAACTTCCCATATGTGGGAAGTTGCGGCGGCAGTACCCGTCAAGTTTCAATGGCGACTGGTTGGAAAAAGTGTCGGTCAGTGAGCTCCAAGTAAAGGCATCGCTTTCGTGTTTCCGCATCATCTGCAGCAGATCCCGCGGCCTCTGATGAACCAGCAACGTACGACGTAGCGAACGTGTCACATACCGTCACATCCCAAATCAGAGGAAGGTCCTTTTTCCAGGGAAACGCGCAAAAAGCCAATCAATAGGTTCTGGATAAGATTCAATCCCGGCATTACATAACGCTCGCAAGATAATATCGTTAATACCGTTATGTCGTCCAGGGAAAGAGTGATAATCCATCTGGCCGTTTCCCATCCAATCTGCTTAGTCCGGGAGGTTCCAAGATCGTCGGCACCTTTGCTGAACCCAGACTGCGTGGATGACACTGTCGAGACTGGCATGCCGCCTGAACCTTCCCTGACTTCTTATGCACAACAGACCATGTAAGCCGAACGCATCAACCATGTCTCCGCAACGAAGGTATATGATGCTAAAGAAGGTATAATACATATAAGCCAGATGGCAAGCCAGCGACAACCTGTTACAAAATATTCGTCCAGAGTGGGAATTCAGTCCCCACTCTCGCATATCCGTACTTCTACTGCTCGCTTTCATGGCATCCGTATCCGTAAGTCATGAATGACCAATGAGCCACCGTGGTCCGTGGGGTGGCTATTGGTCATGCCATGAACGAAACCTAAGTCTCAGTGTGCGATGTTCGTGTGCATGTGCTTTCCCTTTTAACTGGTACAGCTTGTAAACTATACTTCGAAGAATTCTCGATGAGCTTGCTGCTGTGCATGTGTCCGGCGACGAATTGGAGTTGAGATACTCTTGCACCCTATAATGAAGTATTTTAATTGTGAGTACACTTAAGATTGAAAGTTTGAAACTTGCTATTACCTGTCGTAACGGCGGCAAGCTTACGGCGATTACGAAAGCAGAGCTTCATATCCCTTTTACACGTTGAGCGAGATGATACATTAATAGGCGTGCGAATGCGTGATTGCGCTGAAACGACCCGCCCGCAACGGTGCTGACTCGAAGCCTTTATTAGAATCGATGGATTAACGAAGCTGAATTAATCCATCGGGATTAACGAATGATTTTTGACAGATACAAACCGACAGTACCACAAAAGTAAAATACCCAAAGACTTTAACCCAAGTAAAAGGATCTTTGCACAAATAAAGGGATTGTGCAAGTTAGGTCTTTTGTTTGGCACTTTTCTTTGCTCATGGGGTGGTCTCCAAGTCAATCTGCAAGGTAACATTGGCGCGATACTTGCGCGGAAGTGCTTGGTTGCCTTTTAGTAGAATAATTTCCGGAATTACTACAGGAACGGCGAAAGGTACAGGTGGAAGAGTAGTGCCGGCGGGAGTTGTTGATGGTAATGCGTGGGCTGTAAGCCTCCGTGATCTAGATGGGATAACAGTGTGTCCCTCTGGCAGTTGAGCCTGTTGGTAAACAAATCGTCGTGTTATGAGCGGCTGTCCAGTATTCGACGCCCATGTCGACGGAGTAGGGCAGATAATGGTGAGGCATTTGGGAAACATTTTCGCGTCCTCCTCGTTCAAGGCGCAGCAGTACTCTGGATCGATAAACATAACTTGGAGATTATGGCTACTCGTATACATACTCTGTAGTTGCTTTATGACAGTTAGACAATACCAAATACAAAACAAAGAGAAATTTAAATATATTATGAAAATCAGTTTTGTAAGCGATGTATTTCCTTGAATCAATATGGTGTATATGCAGCCACGTATCGATTAAACTATCGGGTACCGTACCGGTTACCTTTTTATCTTTTATTAAAAATTCAGCAGGCACACCCGTTGTCAACATTCTTACCTTGAGGTTCCGGAAAACCATCAATTTGTGTTAGCATGGCCATGAATAAGGAACCAACCAAAACATTGGCTGTACTTGTAAAAAGCTTGCTATGCATGATTGTACAGTCGTCTATACGGCTTACCGTTTCTTTTGCTGCACAATCATTACAAATTTACAATCAATGCATGGAACACACGGGTATCTATTAGATTCGACTCAACAGCGTTGCCCCGAGGAAACTTGTAACTAGCTTTTTCTTGGATAGGATCCAGTTTATCGGTGGCAGTGACGAATAAGTATCAACTCAGAGCTCCGACCGGTCGTAACTTCCTATCGTGCCACAGGTAAAAAAATGTTAGTATTTTGAGTGTGCCTATCAGCACAAGATAATCAACAAATTAACATGTGAAAGTGCATTAGAGCCACACAGTGATGGGCCCCGGTTTTTCGGCCGATTGCAATTGCATACATACACTCAGAAAATTTGTTGTGCGCGCGGTTAAACTGGTTGCGTCTTGCGGCTTGATTAACGACACTTTTTCGACTAACCGAACCGTTCTAGTCGGTTAAAATGTTAACCAAACCGGAAAATATATCTACGGGTACCACCTCATTCAAATCTGAGCAGGATTAGCGTTCTTCTGCCAAAAAATTCCATTGAAAAAAGGCATATTTTGAGCGTTTTCGAAGTCCGGACATTTTCACAGTATGGACTCACGTACCGAACTCCAGAAGCCCGGTATTTTCTGCGTTTCTTCAACATTAGAAAACCTGATGATTTGTTATTAATTTCGTGTACAAGTTTGTAAGAAAGCAACAATTATCGCGTGATAATTTTTTGAAAAGTTTCAGCTAAAACCGCTTTGACAATTTTAGAAGTGACTTTCGGAGCGAACTGAGCCCGTTCCAGTCGACTTGGAAAACTAATCGAGTAACAGGAAGTGACTTCTTCTTAGGAGCGGTAGATTAGTTATTACGATTAAATCAATCATTCACAATGTACGAGTGTAACCGGCAAAACTGTCCGGTGTGCACTGCGGTAACAGATTCCTCTATCAAGGTAAAGACTATATTACAACGGAAAACCCCGTACGATCTGGTCAGAACAAACCAAAAAATTAATCGAAAAACTGATAACGCCATTCGATTCCGCATGTCTGGAAACTGTGTCACATGCATTTTCTTTTGAAAATTATTCGCTCCGGCTCCCGTGCTCCCGTGCCGGTGCCGGTAGAGCTGAAAGCTCAAGGTGACCTTGAAAATAATTCAAAGTCCGGTTGCATGGAGCAAAAAATCAGTACATAAATTTAAATTGGTACCTTTTCAGATCAGCAAATTAAAAATGTTTAAACTTTCACTCCTACAAAACTAGAAAAACCAATTAGCAGTAACACAAACGATGCTGCTACTGGATGGCTTCGGTTCAATAAATCGTTAACAATTTAAAGCGCTCAAAATCATGACTTAAAAATAAGAACGCTCGGTGAAAGCCACTGGCAGGCAGCTGTAAAAGAAAATGACCATCGTAATCGTTCAAACGGGCTGACCTTTCATTGCAGTCCGGGCAAAACTACAGACAGTAGTTAATTAATCAGCATATACAGTCCGTAAATTATTCCTTATGTTACGGAATTGTAACACGGCATCTACATTCGAGATCTCTATTACTACAAAAACATAAAAAGGAATACACGAACCAGCTTTCTCGTACAGAATCAGCAAAAACTATTTCCATAATATGAATCCCAATATATTCCAAAACCCGGCCAGAAGCTCTTAGTTTCGCACAGCCCGATACGTGAACGACAGACCGAACTACCGCTGCTGTCCAGAGCACACATGCAACCCGCTAGGTGAACGAGTGACCGAAGTACACAGCCCGCTAGGTGAATGAGTGACCGAAGTACCGCCACTGTCCAGAGCACACATGCAGCCTGCTAGGTGAACGAGTGACCGAAGTACCGCTACAGTCCAAACCACACAGCCCGCAAGGTGTTCGAGTGACCGAAGTACCGCTGCTGTCCAGAGCTCACATGCAGCCCGCTAGGTGTTCGAGTGACCGAACTGCTACTGTCCAGAGCACACAGCCCGCTAGGTGAACAAGTAACCGAAGTACCGCTACTGTCCAGAGCAGACAGCCCGCTCGGTGAACGAGTGACCGAAGTACCGCTACAGTCCAGAGCGCACACCCCGCTAGATGAACGAGTGACCGAAGTACTGCCTCTGTCCAGAGCACACAGCCCGCTATGTGACTGAGTGACCGCACTACCACCAGCATTTATTACAATCATTCTGTAGGTTGAAATTTAGTACCTGGTAGACTCAGAGTCGGGATGGAAAGTCAGCAAGAGATTCCCTTCTGAGTCAAAGTGAATGCATCTGAGTGCACAAAAGCCGTAAATTCACTTATTATCCCAATGCACCTTAGCGCTACGTTCGGCCCGTTTTGTTTTGCTGAAGGAATAGGATGTTGACTTAATAGCTGATCGAAATCATTTGAATAAACCGGCCGTAGACTGGGGACCACAAGAAACGCTGAGACGAAGCCGAGGCTGTTTCTTGTAATACAAATATAATGCACGATATTTCAAATCCGGATGATACGTAAGTCGCACTTCAAGCCGACTGTTTTCACCTGCAAAAGCTTCGCATCCAGTAATTTTAGTTTTGAAGATACTGAATTCAGCAAAAGACGCATGCTAGCATCCCCAGACAGAAGGATTCAGGAAACCTTGTATTACTCGTAGGGTAACATTACTCGTAGCCTCGTCGAGTCGTAGGGTAAAATTTGTATTACTAGTATAGTAAAATTAGAATATAAGGAGTTGGTCATCTTTTAGTCATTCAGTGCCACTCAACAATGAGTTATAAAAAACCGTGCGTCGATCTTTTGGGTTGTAATAATCGTAAATCCTACGCTTTGATTCTTCAAATGCTCCACTTTGTAAGTTTGGTACATCGTCAAATTGAAGCAGGTGGCAGTCGGCGTTATCTGTGTGCAAAAACAAACATGGCATCAAAAATATGTCGCTAACTTCCTTGGGTGAGCGCCACCAACCAGCAGCAAAATGTGTTTTTAGTATGTACCTCGTCAAAAAACAAAGTGAGCTGACTGCGTTTGTTGTCCAGCTCGCTGTTCCGCATTAATGGAATTCTTGGCGGAAGCTGCCTGATTTATACTTCGTCGAACTGATAACCAGACAGGCCGGTGACCTCCACAACCGTCATGCTGCTGCTACCTTCTTTCCAGTGTCTGTTTAATTACAAGCTAAGCGTTGATAGACATTCCCCGCACCTTTACACGACACATTTAAGCACTGCCACAACCTGTACGACTCTGTACGACTAACCTAGCGCAAATGGTCAAATGTTTAGCCTTTGGGAATCCGGCATGTGATAAAGTGGCATTAAGGTCAAATACCCAACCCTCCATCGGTTGCAGTACGTTATATGTCCAGCTTACGTAAGCGACAGCCATCCCGCTTCCTCTGGCATTAATCGCGATATCCCTGGGTTTCGGTGCAAATTCAAAGAACTGGACATCTATCGATGATTTCTGAAAGATCGTCATATCCCTCTTCTGATTGCCATCCGTGACGGCGATCTGCATCGATGGAGCAGCGGTGAATGATTGGGCAAATTGGGCTAAAGCCGCGAGCGCAATTGCGGTGTCCTAAGAAAAACAGAATTTTAGAACTGAATTGTGGACTAAAAACATAAAGAGAATTGCACAACCGTTGGGGGAAAGAATCCGCCTTGAGCATTTTGCTTAGAAATCAACCAAGCGGCGATTTTCAGCGGCATGCTCCAGTTTCCGTTGGCCATGTATGCCAGCAACGCGTACGCTGTGGCTTCCACCTCTCGGGCGTGAGTAGAGTATGAATAGCCGGGACCTCCGTCTTCATCGTCGACTGACTCCAGCGTCTTCCAGTGCACAGTCGAAGCATGCTGGACCATTAAATTCTCCAAACCGGCCAGTGCGTCTTCACTCTTTGAGCTGTTAGCTCGCGCCAATGCGTACGCTGTGATCGCTAAAGCGTACGGGTCGTCCTTTAAGCTCTCCAGCTGCGACTCCAAAAAAGTCACAGCTTTCTGGATCGCAGTTGAAGCATTCAGCATCATCGCGTCGTCAGCCTTTCCGACCTTGGTGTATTCTATGAGGGATAAAGTCGTGAATGCTGTTAACGTACAGTGTTTGTAAGCGCCGCCTTCGACATAGTTGTCCACGACTTTTCCGCTTTCGCGAAAGGAGCCATCGTCGTTTTGCCGGCCGATCAGAAACTGAATCGCTTTGCCAAGAACTCTCCTGCTGCTTTTGGGAAGGAGCCCCAAGGTTTCGGCAAATACTCTCGCGACATAAGCCGTGAACCATGTAGAACCATTTCTGTCGGATTTTCCCCACAAACTAAATGAACCATCACTGTGAAGGTACGTCAGCGCTCGCTGAAAACCCAGTTGGGTTTTGCTTACGAGATTGACTTCCTGTTGTGGGGAAATTTTGTTGGTAGTCTGCCCATACTTCAGTATTGCAGCACTTGTAGCTAATATTGCCATGTTCGGTTCGCCACCCTCATACGGCAGTCTGATCAGTTGATCCAGTTTGTGGGTCGGCACGCCCAATAAGTCGCCAGCGACGTGAACGGAAACTTTTTCTGACCCGGCGACCTTATCAGCCGGATCCGCAGGCAACTGGATGACAGTATCAAAGGTTTTGGATTTATGAAGATCTATCAAGACGGGTTGGCTAAAGAACTGCAGGACGCCTTCTGGCTTGACGAGCAAGGTCCCATTCAACTGATGAAGGGCGTCATTGGACTGAACGGTGACTTCAAGTTTCCAATTGCCAATATGCTCCGGAATGATCGTAAATGTTGTTGTAATCGGTTTATTAGGCCTGGAAATTGTGTTCTTGCAAAAGGTTGTTGGTGTATCGTCCGGACTGAGAAGGGTTAAGTTGACTGTCACATTTTGCTCCTGTGGCATAGAGTTAAAAGTGATGACTTCAGCGGTGAAATTTTCGCCCCGGATAACGCTATGTGGCAAGTCCATTGAAGCAAATAATGATTGGGACACCCTTAGCTGTAACATCGAAGCCAATCGAGTAATATGTTTTTTTCGGTTTCTGGTAAAAAAAAGGGTGAACTTTCATGCCGACCTTGGCAGGTTTCAACGATACAGTTAATCCGCCAGCGTTGCTTAAACTGAATGCCGTGATTCGCCATGTTGTCAATGTATCGGTCACTTTGCGCTCCAAAACAACATCGCCGTTGGCGCTAGTAAATTTTATCACTTTTATTAAACTACTAGCAGACCCCGCGCAGATTGCGCGGAATATTTAAGGCGATGGACGAATCATAAGTTTCATAACCTAGCGCAAAAATTAAAACTTATGACTGCAGTTGCAGTAGTATACGTTTTATGGACAAAGCGTAAAATTCTGCGATACAGTATATCAAAGTGTATACACGGTCATGTATATACTTTGCATTGCTCCCCCCTTTGTTCCCCCCCTTTTCGTCCCACCCCTTTGTTCTCCCCCATTTCCCTTCCCTCCCTTTGTTTTCCCTCGTGTATTTACACCGGTATATAGTTTACGATAATATATCAACTAAAAAATTTGCCGCTCGCTTTATCTTACTGCAGAGATGACCTTAACCCTGAAATGCGAAATATTTTTCCCAAGAGCGTATAATTTTCTCATTAGTTTCCGATCTATTTCTTAATTTCCAGATCAGTATCTAATCATTTACTTTAATTTCGTGTAGCTACTGCATAAGGACTTTGTAATTTATTAGACGTTGTCTCCTCCTGTTCTTTCTTCCTGTGTCGTTCTGCGCTTTTTCAGCTGAAAACTGTCCGATAATAGTTTATCTACTGTACTTTTAAACACCTATTTGACCAATAACACCACTGGTGCCCTTCATATCCCAGTTTAACAATCAGTTTACCGACAGAGTAATTGCTCCATTTCCCACTGCTATTGCTTTTTTGCTATTGCTTTGACCACAGCCAAAATAAATAAGCACAGGAGCATTTTGTTGTGTTTCCTTCTTCGCTTTAGAGCTCTTTCTTCTTTCTCTCTGCGCTCTAGAAGCTCTTTTTCGAAATCGGGAACTACTACGCGACATTTCTGGCATGCTTGCTGCTACGCGAGCTCCGCTCGCGCCGCAGCTTGGCGTCGCCTGCGGCTCCGCCTTCCAATACGCTGTACAACGAACAAAAAAATACTATTTGTCCCTTGTTACTTAATAATGAAACAATCTAACTTATATCATGCAATTCCAGCTACATCCAACTCCACCCTACCCGTTTTTAAACCGAACATGACTTGTACAGAAGGCTGCCCTGTGGCGGCGGCAGATTTAGGTACCATTTACATTACATTATGGCTGAGTGCACGGGTAAACACGGGTGTCGGGTGTTGGCTGCGTGCACGGATGACCTTTTTGGGTCCGCACGGGTGATGGCTGTGGGCACGGAGTCTGCAAACGGGCGCTGGCTGCGTGCACGGGTACATTTATTTAATTTTAATTAAAATATATTTGCTAATAATTTAACGTTTTCAGATTCTTTTGTTTCGGTTTTTTTACTTAATTACTATAGAAATTTGTCACAATATCCATTATTTTTTAACAAAAATACAGGCAAGTAGCACCCGGTTCCATTCGAGAATAAAAGGTTCATGAAACCTTCGCCCAAAAGATGTCCTCAGGATGGGTGTTTTTTTGAGTTCCAAAAAGCCATTACATTATATACGGAACTACAGTAGTTTCGTAGATCATGCATGTTAGAAGCGAAAATGTACATTAAAACAGCCTCCAAAAGTACATATACTAAAACATGCCGTTTTAAAGGCGGCGTGTTGCCTTTCTCGGAAACCACTTTGCCTTTTTTTTCTCGAAAACGATAAAGTAGCAAATTTCTGGCCTTCAAAATTGCAGCACAGACAGTACAGCAAGAAAGGCAACCGCACCCGCCCGAGAAGGCTCTTTACAGTATGGTTAGGCGAAAACTAAGTAAACCAATGCGGGGTTCAGTTACTTGAAAACAGACTGTAGAACCGTCCCACATCACAGATTCCTCTCGGCCATTTTTGTCTTTTTCTTTCGTTTTATTTTCTTCCACAAAACTAAATTTTGTTGAAAAATATACAAACTTAGGGCGATGGAGCGCTATTTGTTATGGGACATGAAATTCCCTCAAACTGCAGCGAAACTGTCAGAAAAAGGGTTTAGCTGTTGCGACAGTGTTGGGGTGGTCGGTTTAGCAGTGGTGGGTTCTTGGCTTTTCCCATAGACTTTGTATGTTAATGTTTTTGAAAGTTTTCTTCCAAACTTATTTTTTTCTTCATAAACTGATTTGTGATGGCTAATCTACACTTTAAGGGCTATCGAATGATACATAGTCACGGCAGTTTGGTTCAGTGCGTCGAGCTGACGGACTCAACAAAGATTAAGGCTTACGCGATTATTATCGACCGAAGCGAAGCGAAGGTCCTCTATGTTCAAGAAAACGGGAATTTTTGTGCGTCGGTCACTCACGTCGGTCACGCACTAAGTTGTCGGTCACGCTCTAAGAAGTTAGGGCGTGACCGACGCTTAGGGGCACTTAAGGGGGACATGTAGGTGCTTAATACCACTTACGCACTACAGCGTAGGGAAACCGCCATTGTGTGAGCAAGCAAAGTAATCAGCTTCTTCAAAGAAATGCTGAGCCAAAGCATTAGTGACACGACGGTGTTATGGTTTGTTTGACCAACGGCCTTTGTCTTTGCATGCGGCACGCATTCACCCGCCATCTCAGAGTCATCCGCCTTTCATTTGTTTTACTCAGCGGTCCAGCTGAACATTCTAGACATAGCGCAACAAAACACCGTAAACTTTGAATGCGCTTCCGGAGAAATTAAACTTACTGTAATCGGATAACAAATCAACGCTTTATAAAAAAATTGAGTGTAAAATGTCATTAAATCGAGCTCTGTCTCTTGAGCTTATCACACACACCGATTTTGGATATCACTGAAACTACCAGAGTTATAACGGTAAACGTTCAGGGGGTACCGTCCCAACACCCCAAAAACAGTTTTCAGTATTGTAAGTTTTTAAATGAATCGATACTTCTATTCAAATTTCCCGTGTGTGAAAAGCTTTTACAATGTTTCTGCACAAGATAGCGTTTCCAGATTATTTTTTTACCAAACAGCGCTTAGTGAATTTAAGCCTAAAATTTTTGACTTTAAAACCATATAACTGATTGAGTGAAAGTAAAACAATTTTTTTGCCAACGTAGTAGTGTACTGTAGTATGATCATCCCTCTGACCATGAGTCTTCTTTACATTCACACAACTCAAAATCGTATCTTGACAGCGTGTAGTGTATGTAGTACTCGTACAAAGATTGTACGAGTATCTCGTGAAATGGATAATGGCCTATGGGCTATGGCTAATGTGCCGTAGCAACGGTATTGTTGTTGTCCGTTATTGTTGCCATGTCTAATGTTTAGTTGGTTGTTTGCTGCTGTCCCGAGCGGACATAATAAAAGATTATGCCGTTAGTTCAATACATGACACAGCGTCATACGAGTTGCCGCAAAATGACCGAATCGCAGGAATCCTCGCGTTAAGGCAAAACACCAACGTCGGGCATACTTACGTGCTTATACGGTCCCAGGATCACGTTCTACTAAACACAGTACAATTTAATACAATGTCTTCAGACTAACTACCAAGTAACAGCGCATAGCTTACTAATTATCAGCTGAAACGATAGTCGACCCTTTGTATTCAAAAAAATAAACCCTTATCTTTTTTTCCGGTAGCATATTTACCACTGAGGTTAGAAGTCCACCGTTCTAGGCTTGCACTATAAGACCGAACCGAAGCTTGGGAGTCGGATCAGTAAAAGAGAACAGTACATAATGTAACCATGCAAAGTCCTACGTTCAGCATGATTTAATTTTCTTTGCTATGAAACAATGGACTGGCAGGTGTGTAAAATATAACGGAATAACATTTAACAGAATTATTATTGTGTTTGCTGGTGCCCCGCAGCTTCTACACAAGGTTGCTTATTCATAGCCAGGTATAGACCGTATAGTAGTAAGTAGTGGTGCTAATATTTCATGCATCCTATACTAATTAATAAATGTTGCTATAGGAATGTGAGGAAACGTACTTTGCTAACTAATATTATATTCAAAAGGCCTTCTCGTATCACTTGCAGTTTAAAGAGAGCGGAATGTACGATTGCAACTTATCGTTAAAAAGACAAGCGTCGCTTACTAGCGCCTTCAGCAGTAAGCGGCGTTAGTACTCCATGCACCTTGTACTAATAGTGAGTCACGAACGTCAGTTGAATGTTACGGAAATACATTCTTATAACCAATATAGTACTGTAGCGGCTCCACCAAGTTGTACCACATAGTTTGTATACGGGAAAACAGTACCCAGAGCGTGTGTATTAATTGTGCACGCGATGCATGGGCATGCACACGCTGCGCGAGTGCAGTTTTCCCGTACACAAACTCTGTGGTATAACTTGGTGGAGCCGCTACAGTACTCAAGGACTTTGTTATATTACTTACATTATACAGAATAGTGGGTACGGCAAGTACTGTTCCAATGTGAGCATCTACTTACACTTATGTCTTAGTACGAGTAGTCTTTGCAAGCAGACCTGAACGTGTGACCTTTTGGGTTATATTCCCCTTTACTGTTCCTAGCTTCGCTTCGGTCTTATAGTGCTAGCCTAAAGCGGTGCACTTTCATAGTATAGAGATGAAATGGGCACTGGCTTTGCGAATTATGTAAATGGGGTCAAAGAATAGCACTCTTAAGTCTTACCTGTATATTGATTATTGTTGTGTACGGCTGATGGTACAGCTCGTCTGCAGTGTTTTTTTACTTGAGATTGTTTGACAAAGGACTATATACTGCACGTGTTCGTACCATCTGTACTACGAGTATAGAAGTGCATCTATATAACAAATTAATGTGAACTTACTCTGCCAGAGCAGTGTCATACAGGAAGCTCCGTGTTAACTGCTCTTGCGTCATGTGTGGCGGCGACCATGTGGAGATATCGGAGAATGCTGCGGCGTCCTCTCCATCATCATCGGTTTTCTCGAAAGAATATGGAGAATAAGCCGCACAGTACCGCCGGCAGGGCGGCGATCCGTGAGCTTTGTTATAAATAAACCCGTAACCATGATCTGCCATGGGACATGAACAGTCAGCTGAATCTATATACGGCCTGACCATCGTAGCAATTTCCGGTTTGGTTGAGGAACTCTTGGTGTTAGTCAGAAGATAGTGCTGTACTGGGCCGGAATCAATTGGTTTCTGCAAACGGCACATATTTGATTTTTGGGATATGTCTTTCGCGTTTCACTGACAAGCTGGAGACGTGAAAATGTTGCATGCTTTACCTAGGTTAACTCATCATTCGTTAAACTTTATACAAAAACCTACTCGTACTTGAACAACTTGAACAAACGTGCACATACGGCTAATGTCTTAATAGACTACAACAGTACAACTTTCTATCCACTGCGTTAGCTTGTCGATCTGAAGTTTTGAGTACCGGAAAACGAAATTGCGTTAAAAACAATAACTGAACACTTTACACATAAAATGTGCACGCAGAGTACTTACTGTAAGGTAATCTGCCATTGACAGCCGATACACAGGCCTCCCATCCGATACTTTTCCAGTTTTTTCGATCTGGAGAGCAGCCAAATTGTTGAAATCCACGGTAAAGTACAGATACACTGTTATCACTGCTGATTTAGAATAAACGCACAATCGCAGGAGTTATATCGTTGTCTGGTTTGAGCAGCGGCCGTCTTTCTTCCATGGCCAAGAAAACGACCGTAGACCATGGAGCAGTCTTCGCTTTCACAAGAATCATGTCGCCTGGTTGAGCGATTGACGAGCCGTTCTTGGTTGTAACGGACAGCGCAACCTGTATAAGAAAATAATTTTGATTGCTCGTAGTAGTCTAGTGTAACAACTACAACTCGTTTGTTTTTGCAAATCAGATATACAGGACTGTATTTAAAAATGCAGATACTTTTGCTACGTACTGCAAAAGCCCTTACTACTTGCGCAAAATGTTTGTTTTAGATTGTTTGGCATACGCAGGCAGCCTTGGTAAACATCTTAATATTGTGTAATCACTATTTGGATAAAAGCGTTACGCACGTTTCTTGATGAAGGGTCAGCTACGATTTGCAGTAGCAGGATATTGCCTACGAGTTCCCCGTCCTCTCTGACGTAATACGCAATAAGACGACCCGTTGGACCGATCGAATCCGTCAACGGCACCGAGACAGTAAGCCGCTGACCAGGCGTGGATATCGAATCACTCCACAGGAAACTCGAATTCGAGCTAGACATTACCTAATTAAGAAACAAAACGAAGGCGTGCGTCACGTGTAGCGATACGTACAACAAATAGTAATAAACAGGGACGCATTCTATCAACGCACCACTATGTGAATGGTTTCGTTCAGCCGCGTCGTTGTGTCAATAGTAAAGCCTGCCACATCACCGGCGTAAAGATCGTCAGAAACCGCACTAATTTCCAAGAAGCTCCCGCTGGCGGACTGCTTCGCGTAGACCATCAGATTTCGCGCCGGCTGGGAATCGTAAGAAACCAGAATGTTCATAGCATCAGCAGTCCTCAGTGTCGGTATAGTAACACTTAGCGTCCCATCAGCCGCGACCTGTGCCGACGTTGTAAATGGGAGGTTGTGACAGCTGTCTTTACTGTATTCCACGAACGGGCCCACCGAGCGCTTCTTTCGGCCATCTCCTTTCGCACCGCTCTGAAAGCCTCCTCCATTAATCCCAAAACCGTCGTAAGGGAACCTTGCACGCTGGCGACCAAACACAGCTCCATACTGGCTCCAACGCGAGGAGCTTGGATGATACTCAAAATCGTAGGGACGCGGAGGTGGTTGCCCCACGCAGGCCACATCGCCGGTGGGCGAAACAATCTGCCCCTGACCAGCCGAGACGTTAGCGGACGTTACAATAATCTGTGCTGTTCGGCCGGCTGCAACCGGTAGGCGTCCGTTACAATCGCTGATGGAAGCCTTCAGTTGATACGGATATCCGGGCCTAAACGTTGCGGTGTCGGACGTAAACTTAATGCGATGCGGCCCCGTTTCTACGGTGATAACAGCCGGCGTGGCGTTTCTTTTCAAGCCGGTAGCCGCTTCAGTAAAATTGGCTTGAATTGTCACGGCATTATGGTAATATGTCAGTGGGTTCTTTATCTCTTCTTTGAGCGGAACAGACACAGTTACTGCTCCGCGGCCACTCTGCAACCATTCAGTGCCCAGAGCTCGCATTACAAAGAGAACTGATCGTTCGCCCGCTCAGGACGTTAGCAGCGTTACCGTTGATATCGACTTGCGCAGTAGTGTCGTCTCGATTGTTCCCCAACCACCCGGACTAGCACCAATCCATCGGATAAAGGTAACAGCAATGTCAAAGACCCCTTGGACACCTTCTCCAGATTGGAAGCTGGAAACCATGAAATATTACCACCGTTCTATGACGTAGAATGAAGTGCTAGAGTAGGTTTTGAACGTACTTTGCTGTGAGCTGAAACAGCATTTCATCCTCGACCGAGGGGATGATGTTGGTTTTGTTGGTAACAATTTTGACGTCAAATCTTGGAACCTCTGCAATCATTGTTATGGTATAAATTTCGATTTCTCTCGCATTTTATCCGCCTAGCGTGTTATATTTCAAAAGTGACCTCCCATGGATTACTAGTTCCTAAGCACAACGAAGGTTTCATATATAATAAGTTCGTTAATAAACTATCTCGGTCATCCACAGGTTTTCATAAAAACACTAGGGTAAAGGAAATAAGAAAACTGGAGACCAGGCGGAGACGCATACGCAATCTACGGTTACTCAAATAGCGCGCCCCGTGCCGATCACCGATATCCATAAAATTAATTGGCCACCGGCGATGAGTTTACAAAAAACGTACGCCGGAGGACGTCTCAGACGTTTTGGGACAGTTACACACGTACACGCACACGATCTGCGAAATATGAGAAAAAATCGAGTACAGTACAAAGAATATTCACGTTGGTTGTCGTTGAGACATGCAACAGACAAACTCGAGAAAACTTAGAAAGGCCTGCGCTCCGGTCTTTCATTACTCAAGTTGCTGCATTTTCAAAGCTCACCCAAAAGTATTCATCAACATGCATTTAATGGTAAATTCAAAAGAAACCGTTTGCACTTTACGTACTTTTATGTCAACCCGGGTAAGGATGTTGGCTTGGATTATGGCTGTTGTTGTAAAGCTGCTTCCATCATTAAAACCCGGGCGACCATACAGATCACTGGGACTGGCATTCACATATGACCAAAAATGATAACCAGTAAGCGTCATGTTAACTTGCACATCGGACGTCGTGTTGACAACCAAAATGGAAACCGGAAATACGCTGTTAGATTGTGCACTGTTTGACGCCAAAACGACATGATTCAGTGCATCTGTGGCGCCAGCTAGCAGTGATAGCCCGATCATGAGTCCGCAGTGCATGGTGACGGACTATTCAAAACAATGTCAAAATAACGATTAATTACTATCCAGAAACTGCTTGTTGTCGTAATAAAACTCTCCGAACGTTGCAAAATATTTAAAAGCTACCCATGACTTCACGATGATTGGTTGGCGAATTGATTGATTTTCTATCATGTTATATAGTTTTACTCTCACTTACGGCAGTAGGCAACCAGCTAACTACGGGTAATGTCGTAAAACTGGTACAGGTTAATGAACGCGATACTTAGCCAGCGAAAATAGTCAGATACCGAGTAAAGTCAGCATGGATTCTTCATTCTTGCTAGTTTGCAAAGTTGACGGTGCAAGCACTGTATGGCATGTGCCATGTGCCGGTACATGCCGTACGAAGACGCGTGATGCGGCACCGTGCTAAGCAGGATGTGCTCGGGGGATGTTATTGTAGCAAGGAAGCGATGAAGAATTTAACGTGGCTACTGACCAGTGCCGTGCACCTTCATGCGGTTCGGAAGATGGCAATAGATTACACCGCGCTCCGGATTTCCGTGCCGATGAAAGAAATTGCAAAATCAGTACTTAGCTATTTTTATCGCCTTTTTATTTTCTCTGGGTAACAACTTTTGTAAGACATACGCAGTGTAAACACGATGCTGGCCTGATTGACCGAGCAAAAAATCACAAACCTGCACAATAAACTCAACCCTTGTGCAGAGAGGACCGGTGCATAGTCGTGTGGTCAATAATATTAACCACGTGGTTAAGGTGTGAAGATCGGTTTTCCTTTTTATATTACCAGCCATTTGTGTTTCTTGAGCCCTTTGGCTTTTATGTGCGCATTGCCGGCAAATCAGTACGTCAAAAATGTATAACTGCTATGTTCTGTCCTTGCAGTAGATGTGAAGCATGAGGTGGCCGATCATTGCTCTACAGTGCACCTAAACATGAGATCCGTAATCCGTATCCTCCGGCATTCTAATGGGTTCGTTGCCGGTGTGAAACTATTAATTTTACGGAGTACGCCTTAGCCGAAGACATGGGGTATTTGTTTTGCCCTCCGGCAGCCGAAGCGCTCGGAAATTCGGAATGGCTTTGCCGACTTGATCCGGTTCATCGGCCGGAAGATCCGTCTTGCTACCGGAAAACCTCGATCTAAGGCCTTTTTTAGACAACTTTGAAGCTTAGCGGTAGTCAGAGAAAATCCAGCAGTTGCTTTGGGTATCTTGAACGCCCGTCCTAAGATCTCGAATGTTCCAAGTTCTAAGACACTAACGATTTCGACGATTTTTCAGTTTTTAAAACTGATCATTTTAATTGATGTAAATCTGCGCTTGCGCATTGTTGATTGTTCTTTATACTGACTGATGCCGTATAAGAAAGAAAAACATTCATCGCACAGACACTCATCGGTGACAGGAAGATGCCTGTTTATTCGATATTATGGTTGTTTAGCTCTCCCTTTACTCGCCCTAACTGGTTTTGTCGGCAAGTTTTCTATCTACATGTAGTACTACTCTGTACCTAACTTCACGCATTATGCAATAAATGGAAGCCATGATCAACGGTGTACAGTGGCGTGCGTTGAAACTCTGAGGTTGATTCTAAATGCCAAGAGTCCGAGTCTAAATGCTCGAACTCGAACTCTAAATTTGTCAATCTGAATAAAAACTCTGAAACTGAATAGTAATTGGAGGGGACATAGCTAAGAAAATTTTGCCCAAATGCTTTACGAATATATGTCTGTGTGTGCTTGCCTGGTGTTGCACGTACCTGTAACTGCTGTACTACCGCATCACACGAAATTTAAAACGAATTTTGCTGTTTCCGTTGTACTCTCGTCAACCCGTGGCATCAAAATAAAGCAGCATGCACGCGGAATCATCCACCATTAAGAATTAAAATGCGAGTATGTTTATGTGATCACCCAGTTTTCAACGCGAGGGGTATTCGGGGAATGTGCAAGGATAAGACCCTGCGACCGAAAAGAGCTCTACAAGTATATGTTGATGTTTTTCTCTTAAAAACATTAATGTTCAGTACTCGTACGAATAGATTTCTTATCGTGGGTTATATTAATTTTTATATTATCACAACTGGATTGCAGCTTGATTACAGAGACTGGTCGATCCCCGGTTAAAGTCAGCACCATAAGTGTTTTTATTTCATATGGAAAAAAAAACTGGGACAGGGGCATACAAGATACAACAGTGCGAACAAGTTACATAAACGGATAAACCAATCAACTGCCCGATTAAAGCTGGGCCATTTCTGGAAATATTACCAGCCTCGGCAGTAATTCTTATTGGCCTTGGAAATACTTATTAATTAACTGGTTGCCAGTAGAAAAGTTGATTCTGAACTGTATGACAGAAAGACTAACTGTTACGCCAGCGTTTTCGTTTTCGATTAATGGAACATCCACTAAATCGTTTTCGATTAATGGACATCCCCCAGCGCCAGCACCAACTCAAGGTGGTGGTAATCTTCCTCCCAGCGGGAGTATAGATTACCGCTTCGAGGTAACGGTTGGCAACGTGCAACCATATCAAAGCGACTTGGACAAACGCAGTAATGATGTTGACAGTCGTTGTCAGTGACTGACGACAACCATAAACATCCTTACAGCGTCTATTTGGTGACAGCTTACCAACGTGTACCCCGTCATCGCAGCCGCAAATGCCTGTCGAAAGACGATTTCCTCCGGGCAGAGATTGCGCGCAGTACTAACGAGCACAATCTCTGTCCAGAAACGATTGTCCGAGTCTTCAGGACTGAAATTTGGTGTTGACTGCTCGTTTAACGGTGGCAAGGTTACAATAGGAGAGAAAGAAGAATGCAACAAAGGTCAACATCTTAAGGACCAGTAGCTGAGCAATTGCAAAAGCATGCGCAGCTTTACGACCAACTTACCAACAGAGATGATATTATACAGATACAGGCATATTACAGTATCATTATCGTGATGTTACAAGCAGCTTTGCGTTTAATTTGCGTGTCGATTCAGTAACAGACAAGAAGCAACGTTATTCTTGAATTAGGTAGTGACATTTAAGATGATAATCCGGAAACGTCGCACCGCTGATTTAGTGCATTATTACATGCACGGCATTTCCAGATTACGAACGCAAAAAGTGCGTAAACAAGAATGGTATACCGTCCAGATAGGCTTACGCCTAATTTGATACAAAGTATCCAGGTGGGATGCAGCATGATTATAGCGAATCGATATTTTCTCTGCCAAATAATGCTTCGATTAAAGCGCTTATTTCCGAGGATCTATATGCGCGCGTGCGTTGACTTCTCAATAAACACTGGTTGGAGTCGCACAGCTAATCGTGCTGCAAATAATCTTAATCCGATTATATGTGTACATAGTCGCAGCCCTGAGAGGCTGCGGGTAGTTGGCAATCCTGGGATGGCGCCGGGTATGGTCAACTTAATCATGCTTACGTGAAACCAGCTGCGTGCCAACATGGAAGCCGCTGCTACTATGTTGCTGTTCATTTCACCCTTCTTTCTTAGATAATAAAGCGGTATTTGGGTATAATTCTTCGCGTCTTCCCTATCCAAGGCGCAGCAGCAGTCCGGATTGAGGAACATAGCAGGGTGGTAATGGTTACTCGCACATATTGGTGCCTTATACTAATCAGCAGCGGCAAATACGGGGCAAAGAGAAATTGTCGGGAAAATTTAGAAGAGATGCAATTATTATGCAACCACACTACTTTATTATGGTGCAAGTGTTGCGGCCATCATGGCGATTGTGAAACCGTAAATGGTTCCCTTTTACCGAAATCCAAGCACATTCATTATCACCATTCTTGCCTTAAGGTTCCGAAAAGCAGAAGTTAATGTTAGCATGATTACGGAGGTTACGGTCGGACGGTAGTCTGGCGCGTGAACAAATTTAATCGACCGAAGCGTAGCGAAGGTCTTCTATGTTCAGCGTTTATGAAAAAAGGGGTGTCCGTCGGTCACCGCCACTTAATGCACACATGCGCAGGTTTATTATCAAATGCACGTATGCGCGCTGGCCGTATATACTCGAGCCGCAAGCAAACTATGGTGTCCGTCGGTCACCGCCACTTAATGCATATATGCGCGGGCTTAGTATCAAATGCACGTATGCACGCTGGCCGTATATACTCAAGCCGAAAGCAAACTATGGTGTCCGTCGGTCACCGCAACGTAATTCACCGCAACGTAATTCACACGTGCGCAGTTGCCTTTTCTATCAAATTCCCACATGCGCCGTGGCCGTATATACAACCTTATATATTCTGGTGGTATCCGTCCGTCGGTCACCGCATCAAAAGTGAAAAGGCACAGTGGCCGTTTATTCTCGCGCTACATATGAATTGTAATGACAGTACATTGGTCACCGCCACCGAATGCACACATATGAACGGTGGTATTTGTTACCGTCTGCAGTCTGCGTACACATGCGACGTGACCGTATAAACTCGCAACCGATGGTATCCGTCCGTCGGTCACCACATACAAAACAGAAAGGGCTCAGTGGCCGTTTATACTCACGGGCCACGGCTATCGCCAGCCGTGGTGTCATTTGTCTGGTACCGATGCCCTTTGGTTACTTTGCTATACATATTTACAAACTGTATACAATACTATGAATTATAACTATTCAAATATCAGACAATTTGAGCAAAATTGGGCAGCAGAAATATCAATGGCCAGATTATGGCAATAGCCGTTCCGTAGTCCGTCAACGAGACGGCTGTTGCAAACTGCCGCATTTTTCCCAAATCGCTCAATTTGCTAAAATTGCTTTTGAATACTTTAGCCGCTCGATGATAAAGCACTACCTGGTCTGGTGCGAAAAAACTCAAACGATGGTCGATGTATTGTATTTGGCGAAATTAAAGCAAGGCAAAATTATACCAGTTGCCGTTTTTTGTGATACTATGTAGATAGAATTTTGAAACGGCTGCCTTACAATGGCACAGCCATCCGCTGGGTCAAAAGAACTTTCTTCGTACTGTGGTCCAAGGGTGCTGCCCTTAGAGGATTTTCAAAATTTGCCACTGTGACTGTAAGAGATGACCTTCAAAATCTCTTTCCAGACCGTCTCCTGTACCTGCCCATCGTCAAACAGGCAACCTTCGGCAAGAATGATGAAACACGAAACGGAAATCGTGGTTTTTACATTAATGTATTACCTTACCGTTGAATACCTAAACTGCCCAAGCGTTAACAATGCATCACCACGACGAAAAAAAAAGTTCATCGAAAATTAATCTTATTTGAGGAAAACTACTTTTGATTAAAATTATTGGTGCGAAATGAGAATCATTGTTACCGAAAACTTGACAGATGTGTTTGGCAGTAAGGAACACATTAATTGTCTGAGATTCAAAATGGTGAGTCCGGCATGAATAACATTGAACCGTCATACCTAAAGAACTTGGCAGAGCAAATTTACGCAGTTTAGGAACAACCAAATGTTCATCTGTCCGGGCGGTTTTACCGGTTATAGATTTTCTATGTACTTTTAAACGTCTACCTTAGTAAAGTGGATGTTGCAGAGTACAGCAAAGTGCTATAACCGGTAAAACCGCCCGGAAATGCCGGACTTCGAAATATCGTATTTGGAACTATTTACAGTACTTTATCCTGCAGAGCTGCATCAAATTTTACAGTCACTTTACTAATTTGCGGCAGCTCTGCAGAAGCCAAAGTACTTACTGCAAATAGTTCTAAATCGATAATTGTAAACATCGTATAATGGACTCCTACCGCCAACGACCTAATGCGAATTATCTAATCCTGATACGCTTCGGTCATGCAGTGCCCGCCAAAAGCGAGAGCACTTTCCTAGTTATGGCAGTGACCAGGCAGTCGCTGTTGCTGATAAACAAAGGCCAGTTAGGGCAAGCGCTACGTGCTAGCAGTTTCGATTCGGGTAGCACTAACCGCTCTATAGTCTATAGCGTTTTTTTTTATTGCATTATTTATAACTACAGATAACGAGAGACAAAAGCGACGCGAACAGCAATAAATTTAATTATGTAAGTACAGAATGCCTCATTATACGTACGAGTATACATAGTATATCTCGTAGCACTAAAAAATTGAAATTTTAAAAGAAACTGCATAAAAATTCAATTAAATTAACTGACTGACATCAAAATACCGTCCTAATGGAGCCAAAGAAAGCACTATGCAAAACGTGCTTAAAGATTGCAACAGTACGAAAATCCACAAATTACATTTGAAATATTCGCAAAAACCTTCCGCAGCTTATCGAGCCTCCGTGCCAAGGTTGTTTCTGCGATTGACTTTCTTCCTGGCTCTCGCCATTATGTTGATAAGTGCCATTTCCGGGCGGAAAAGTACTGGTGATACAGCCGCATACTTACAAGGCTGTAAACCAAGTCAGAACAAGTTGAAGAAAAAATAAATCGATTTTAGCAGGCAATGACAGGGAAGCATGCCAATATATTTTTAATTCACAGTTTCGATCCAACAAAACCCAAATGCCCGATGTAGCGTGAATCTGTACTTGAAAATTTGCAGTCGTTAACAAAGCAATTCGATTACGAAAATTAGTAGTGTCCTGAATTTTTTGACTGCTGCTTTTTGACTTACAGTTACCAAAATTTTCGAGATACTATTTTTTTAAAAAAAAACATCAGGCTGCCAAACTAAAAGGCATGAACATAGCACCCATAATGTCAGGTAAAACCGAAAATTTCATAGAAATGAGGAAAAAAGACATGATCCAGCAGTGGCTTAAACTATTGAAGTAAGTTGGGTTAATTGGCGGCGATGTACATGTCTTGCCGCTTTTCTTTTGCAAAATCTTGTTACGATTTTCCAGGATTTCTTTCCATAGTCCGGATTGACCAAACAGTAGACGAAGAAACCCAGAGAATAATTCGCGAAGTAGGAATGAATTCTTATCGCTTCAAACACCGTGAGCGATGCATCGGATACCCGGTACGCGCATAGATTTTCCAGGAGTTCGTACATGATGAACGGAGCTTTCAGTATGGCATTCATACAGCTGGTCAGGACCAGCAGGCGCACAGCCGCTATATGTCGCGATGGGCGAGGATTGGTATTGGCGGCGACTTGGGGGGATTTGTACCGGCACAACAGGAATAAGATAACCACAACGTTCGATGAGAGGATGGCAAAGAAAGTGAAAACGATGACAAATGACTACAAATCCAGATAGCATTAAAAAGCAATGAAGCACTTCGCCTTCGTTCGGAAACTGATCATTTTTTTACGGATCACCCCATCGATCACCCGCGTTTTTAATTTTTTTAAAGATATCAGATCTTAAAAATTACAGTTGTACACATTTCGAATAGTTTACAGAACTTTTCCTCTTAGCTTAAATTTACACAATTTATGATTATCACGTTTACTGATCTCACGAAAACCGAAATCTGTTTGCAAGAGCTCTGAAATAACTGCAGAGAACAATAATCGGTATTTGTTCGGTAATTGTGCGTTAGTGTTTTCTTCCCTTTCACTTACAACACAGAATCAAGTGACTTAAGAAACGAAGGACGCCAAACCGACTATCTTTATCAGATCATCTTGCGCGTTTAGGGAATTTAAAAACATGGGTGATCGGTGCGTTGGTCCGTATACAGACTGTAGACGGCATAGTAAACATAACTGGTTGGCAAACGAAGTAGAAGCACTCTAATTAAGGCAAGGCCGAAAAGGTTCAAAGTACTGCAGTTATAACTTTTAACTGCAAATATAACTTTCCTCGTCATTAGCCTAGCTGGGCTCGTTTACGTGACCTTTGGTCACATTTATCGTACCACTCCTTTTGCGTGGACCGTGCTCCACTCCAGCAACCATCGACCATGCAGCTGAACTTCGTAGCCGTCCGACAAGGAGAAGGTTTTGATGTAGTCGAAGAGCCACGTCACAACAGCCAGTATTACGAGCAGGACAATGACAGCTCGTATTCGACTCGATGTTACGATTGTCCGACTCTTCAATGGGAAGAGAACGTTGATGAGATGAGAAAGATTGAAGACCAATAGTGTCCTACAAGTTTAAAAGTAACTCAGTCCCGACTCATCCTCATACGGTATCTGTAGACTGGGCACTCGAAAGGTCATTATAATGAGCAAGTAGGCAAGCTGTCATAACTGAGCAGTCGAAATGCTTTACCAGTCGGAAGCTATGAATCCAACGTCGGCAGTTGTAACGAAGAAGAATCCACTCCTTAAGGTGGATGCACTCTCCTGTGTAAAAAAAATTCTTAGAAAGGTCGTCAAGATAGCCTCGGCCAGGTTGTAGCGCGCTTCATGCATAAATAACAGCAGCAATCCACAGGCTTCGAGTAATTGCAGTACGCAGAAGTTACAGAACTACCTATAGCAATAATTATAAATCTTACAGATTTGTTGAGCTCCAAAATGTAGTATGAAATGCAGTGAAACCATCTAAAAACAAAAAGTTTACAGTTACGATTTAAACTAAAGTGCTTTTTGTCTACAGATTACATGAAATAATTGTGGGGGAATGGGATAATTTTTGTACAGAGTATATTACGTGGTTTCATTGTGTTTTCTTAGATACTGCGTGTATCGATTTCTTAACTCTGAATTTCGATTCTTAACTTTACTTAAGGATTGTCCAGTTTACATTTCAACTTGTACAAACTCTAAACTTTAGCCTGTGTTTAACTAATTAGTTAAATACAGGCTAACCGGATGTTGCACAAACCGTTCTCACGCCGATGTATAAGTACAAATCATGTAGCTTGACGCTGTCATAAAACAGTGCAACAAAGGTTTTGGGTGCGCGCAAGCGAAAGTTTCGCGCAGGAAACGATTCCGCTGCCATGTTCTGGGTTACTTCCGGGTACCATGTACCTGACCTCTGAGAATCCCGCTTGGTCAGTTTGGACCCTGTTTAGCCACTCCGTGGACTTTTCGGACATGACGGAATTAACGGTTATACATTGCAAACTGTCGCCTAACATCTGTTCTTTGAAATAAAACCAATAAAAACAACCTATAAAAATAATTACGAATAAGAGAAAAAGAACGTCACCATGCCGGCCTAACACGCATACAGACTGTACTGTGGGACGGATTAAGGCATGTCATTGCTTACTATATTGGGCATGCCATTGTTTACGCGTCAATCGCTTTTAACTTTTAAGTATTGTGACTAGTTTTGAAAAACTTTTTCTATTCATTCTGCCGTCATTTCGACATTAGCTGCTTTTCGTTAGTGGCATTTCGGTTTAGAGACAAATCTGAACTGAAAGCCGTTTCCTCTTATTTTTAACGCCCAGTTTAACTCTGATTTTTAATGTATGGGGACCGCGCAATAATTGTCGTATCTTGTCACTTCTTTTAGAATAACGAGTAATCTGATACGTTAATTACAATAAATTACATCGCTAATAAGTCGAATACGGCCATGGCCAGCAAGCATGTTGCGTGATACGTGGACACTGTCCGCAGTACGACAATATTCAGTGTATTTCCCAGCGTGCACAAGATCAGCCAAACAGGGGTAAGGACCCATTCCGCTATCTGCACTGCCGGAAGATCTGGGGCAAAGTCCAAAATGCTACGGTTGCGCCAGTTACACGATTCCTGTAGCGCGTTTAAATCCACCGTTGCGAATTCGCCGCTGCTATCATTCGACATCATCGACCATTACGCAAACCAAACAGCATTTTAAGTTATGGACCCTGTAGCTCAATACACCATGGTGTGTAACAGTGTAAGTGTAGTATAATGAGCTATCCCGAAGTTAAAACGTAAGCAAGACAACAGCAAAACAATGATAAATGCAGCGACCGGTCGTCGAAAGATTTGCAAAGGCCCAAATGGTGTTCTGTACCTGCACAGATTTCAAGCGTTAACTATGAGTTAGCGTTCGCGTGTCTCTGTAATTTTCATGTGACAAGTCGCCTAAAGGCGGCAAGCAAACACCGGTAGTTACTCTCTACCAGATACAAAAAATATTTCTATTAACCTGTTTTTTCTCTGTTGTCTGCTATATATAATGCAACGTCGGTCGATGATACAAATAATTAGCAAATGCCGTCGGTCGATGTAATTAGCAAATGCCGGCGATCCCATTACTCCATATAACGAACTACAGAAAATAGCACCGCCACACGCCTCATGCAGGAATTGATTGCTTACGTGTATAAGTGCGCATAACGAACGCGTAAAAAGCAGAAACTAAATGTTTGGGCTTAGTGACCTGGAAGTATTATTTGCATCAGTTAACTTGGTAGTTGGTCTTTTGAAAATTTTCCGAGATAAAAGCGTTTATACAGAAAAGTTAGAAGCGTTTCTTTATATCTGTGTGAAAGGCTGTAGGCGATCTTTCGCAGTTAATTTTTTTCAGGGATATTTTATGAAGTCTCTCCGGAGCTAATACCATTTTTCTTTATTATGCCGAGTTCTGTTCCGCAGTATAAAATAACCGCTGAGTGATACCGATTTGCGGAGTCCATCATGATGGAAGCGATTTGTACGACGTTGTTAGAACGTTGTCGACGCTTGGAAACAACAACCGTCCTAACGTTGCAAGAACGTTAACCGTCGCTGTAACGCGTGAATCCTTATCCCGCCATTACATCACCAAACGCCTGTCGGAAAACATAAGCCTCCGGTGGGAGCTTGCGGTTGTTCGCATGGACTTATCGAGCTCCCTATTCCATCGGAGAAATCCACACCCAAATTTCATCCTGAAGACTCTTTAGGATGAAAATTTGGTGTGGATTGCTCGTCTAACGGTGGTAAAACTACAGCTAGCTACAAATTAAAGAAAAAATTCTTTGAGACAAAGGTCAACATCTGAATCAGTAGCCGCAAAGGCAGCGTTACGACTACCAGACGTGATATTGTGCAGGCATATTAACGACGTCTTACAGGTACATTGCCGCTGATTTACTGCATTAATACGTGCACGGCATTCCCGGGTTACGGATGTACAAAGCGCGAAAACAAGAATGAAATGCCTTCCATGCAGGATTACGCATGATTCTTGTAAAGTATCCAGGCCAAATACAACATATTTGTAGCGAATCAATATTTTTTCGCCCGACAGTGCCTCGATTAAAGCACTGAAATTCCCGGATCCACACGCGCGCGTGCTTAAATTTCTCGACAAACAACGAGCGGAATCGCACAGCTTATCATGCTGCAGGTAATCTTAGTCCAATTACATGCGTACCTTGCGGATCTGCTGTGGGTACAGTCAACTTAATCATGTTATGAGAAACTGTGGTACTGTAGGTGGTAGAAATATCCGCTGCTGTTGAGTGCCACGAATCCCACGATCAGAGTCTTTGTTGCGTCGTAAATGGTTACTCAGTAGGTAAAAATTTAACAAAACGCCTAAATAAAGTCGGGAACAGCTGATACAATCATACAATCAATGCATAATTCAATATAGAGATTCGCAGCTATCGACGGTTTCGGTTTGCAGGAGTACTGTACGATTTACGTCTGAGCGCCGGAAGGAGACGGATGATGCTGGGTGGGTGCGGTAAAGAATTTCTGTAACATTCTTACCTACCATCTTGCTTCGCTCTGCTGTGGTAGAAGTACGGAGTCCAGCTGGACACCACCATTTCGCTGAAGGACATGCGTCGTCCGTCAATAGGTCGAAAATACACAATGTCGACCCCGTGACGAAGTCGAGCTGACGTTTTGCCAGTTCTTTTTGGTTTCTCTTATAAGGCTTCTTAGTTTTCTTAGGTCGCTTAGGTTTCTTAAACTGAATTCGTAGATTCTTTGGTTTTTTAGGTCTTCATAGTTTCCAAAGTCTTCATAGAATTTTCACATACTGTAGTTTCTTATGCGCCCTTATATTTCTAGCCGTCGCCCACGTGAAGACAGCCACGATACATATGTCCCAGTCGCCATAATGCCGGTGGATCCGTCAAGGCACGATATCCTTGGTGACGATGCCGTGACGGTGGTTTCAGTCGCTTTCCAAACGGCGCCTACACCATGTGACTTGGCGGACCGCTAACTTTTTGCAATCTTTATGAAAAACAGTTACAGTGGTACCACATGCCATCTAAGAATTTTTTACATGGAAGCAAAAGTCGTATGCCAAACACACGTCGTGCAAAGATGACAACAGCTTTGTAGCGTGGTTACGAAATGTTAACCTGCGCTACGGAAGCGTTAGCCAAGTACTGCCGACCGTCACAACGGCAACTAACACTACGCCAACGTAGCTGCGCCATCGCGTTCTTTGGGCGGCGTTGCAGAGATCCGTGTTGCAGATGCAGATAACATGTCCGTAGTGTTCCGGTTCCGAATTGCACCCCAGCTGACCGACCCATCCGTGCACGCAAGTCCGCTCCACATCTGCAACGGTTTACCCAGTTTTCATCACTTCTCTACACGGACAACATGTCGGCGCACTGCAATTTTTTCGCACGACCCCGGTCAGAAACCAGATCATACCCGGTATTGAGCACTTTCGAGTTTCTGTCCCGACGACGTTTCGAGCAAAAAACGTAAACCATTAACTAGGAACACTTTTTGCCACCGTATTTCCACAAAACCCTTTTAGTCGTAACTCGTAATCGCATATTTGTTTCATAATATAGCTACCATTTTCTGTTTCACTTTTCCCTGTATCAAAGGAAGTATGCCGATACACCGTACCAAATTCGTGTGCATTCACGAAAAACCCTACTTTTCGCCGCACTCCAACGTCCCAGATAAATTTTTTGCATCGTTCTACGGCATTCAGTAGCCAAATGCTGAGTGCACATAATACTCGTACATTACAGTAGTGTGAAAACCGTTGCTTGCTCACAAGTCACAGTATCCACTACTCCGGCGTTCTGGCCAAAACAAAACAATTTTCACGCAAATGTATTATTATGTACAAATAGTGCATACTTGATACATCATATGCCAACAAAAATGTCAGGAAAGTGTATGCAAAAAACAGTGTTTGGGAGATCGCGAAAGCGTATGTTTCCGGTGCCATCATTGCCATGTACAATTTTAATACAGACACACTTTCCTAAAAATATGAAAAATACGTTATTGTACGTACAGAATTTACTGTCGTGTGTGACGCCCAATTCCTTCATGCAGACTGCCTGCGCATTCCGGCATGTGGTTATCCGCATCTGACCAGCCGCATCGTCCGAGTGGGTTTCATAGCACCGCAGCGTTAGCGCGGCGTCTACAAATTATTAACTAATTCTATTACAGCCTTGCAGGAGCACAATCGTTCATCAAAATTTACGTATGTGCATCATTACTTTCTTCCACAGATAGATGATAGTATACGCTTTCTGCAATGTCAAGCATCTTACCGAAATTCAGCGCCAAAATAATTAATATGCCGCAAAGAGAAAATAATTTCCTCATGTTACGTTAAATATTCGCTAGCTTGTTAAGTATGGCAGCACCAGCGTGCGCGACTAACCCAGCAAAAAAACAGCTGTTTAGAAAACCGCGTGGTTCCAGGCTGAACTTACGAAAAACTCATTTCTTCAATACGTCGAATTTCTGCGGAAATTTTCTTTTAATTGCCGGAGGCGCTTACAGTAAAAATAATCATCACAAGACGGTTTCGGTAAGTTCGCCTTTTTACCATACACGGACTTTATTAACCAATAAATCCGCCTTATCAGTCAGTGTGTGCTAAAACGCTCCCGATTACAACACAGGCTGCATTTTCCACTCAATTTTAACTGCGATTTTTATTTCCATTTATTACATCACCATTCACAACGCACCAACAAAGAACCACTTTTCCACTTAAAGAACTACGCAAAGAATTTCTAAAAACCGGGCAAAATTTCAAACCGTAAACAGAAATAACCACAGAATGACGAGGCAGTGGAAACAAATTCAAAACCGAGCAGAAAATTCAATAAAACCAATTTTTTATCAACTCATTTTTTTATACAAACAAATCCAACTAAAACACACCCTCACCAAAGCACCGAATAAAAACTACAAATAAAACGAAGAAAATTCTAAAATAAATTCCCACACCGTAGCTGCGCGATTCACCGGGGTCTGCATTCTTCCTGAGAGATTATTCCTGCGTTAAGATAATATCGAATAAAAATGGCGGGAAATTTCACCAGTCCGTCCGCGGACCGACCCGGCCGGTGGCCTTGAAGGTCTCGGTGATCTTCTGCTCGCGGATGACGGGGATGTCGCGCTCCCGCCCCAGGGAGGTGGACGGCGAGGGCTGGCGTGTCACTGGCGTGTAGCGGCCGCCCAGGGTGCCGGCGCCTTGACTGCCGACGGGGGTCACGGCGATGGGGGTGTAAGTGTAGGTTGGGCGGGAGGTGTAGGCCGTCTTGATGGCCGTCTCGCGGCCGTACCCCGTGGAGGCGGCCGTCGGGGGCCGGCGCATCGAACCGCTGCCGTCCATGCCCAATCTAAAGTTAGGCCCTCATTAAACTTATAATAAATGGTATTATTTGTTGGAAAAGCGCTCAGGTTAAATTAGGCTTATTATTTACTGTATTTGAATATTTCTCCTATTAGTTTTACTGGTTTGCATAAATAATCTAAATCTGTTGGTAGGATTACCATGCTAATTTGGGTTGAATTTTTATTCCTTTTTACAGAGTTTTCTTATAAAAAAAAATATTCAATGTGCGCTAAGCGCTAAATACTCGGATTTGCAGGATGTTATTAACCCACCGGACAGATGCAAGGAATATTAGGTTAAATACACTGCACCACAGTACCACACTGAACAACGAAGATAAGACTAGCTGATCGCAACTTCACAATCGTTACATTTTAACAGAATTTGCAATGCAACAACCTCATCGTTATGTAATACAGTTTAAAACATAATATTTCACACATTAACACATAAAATCACTACAATTATTTGTTTTACTTGAAAAATGTTTAGGCGAATTGAGACGAGATTTAAGTTTTATGAGTAAATATTTCTAATTAATTTTAAACAATCTGCGATAAGATGGGAGCTGATAATAATATTACGGAAAACTGCAATACTGAAGAAATTTTCAGGCTGGTTAGACTGGATTTATTTTTAACTGAAAATTTTTTCATCATTTTTCTGCTTTCGGCACACGTTTCACCGACTATGAATTCCGATTAAAATTAATTTCGGCTCACTGATGATGATTCTTTCTGGATGCATTTTATGTTATCTTAAAAACACTGAATAACATAACAAATCAAGTAAATTTGCGGAAGTTAATTTACCGTTGCTCTTCGCCGGTGAGGAGTTTATTGTACGTGGCAAGTTCGGCGTCCAGCGCGAGTTTAACGTACAACAGATCCTGATACTGCCGCGTCAGTTCGGCCAGATCTTCGTGCAGACGCTGCAGTTCCTCCTGCAGTTTCTGCAGCTGCAACTGCAGCTGCCGGATCTGCTCGTCCTTGGTGCGCTGGATCGTGCTCAGCTGCTGGTTCAGATCGGCATTCTACACAAATCAAAAACGGATAACCATTTATTCATGAAAAATAATAATTTATCATTATCATTAATAGCAACCGGCATTCCACAGAATCTTGGATAGAGAAAAAACATCCAATGCACCAGAGCAAGAAAAAACGTTTTAAAAAATTAGTTCTTTGCAGTAAATGTTTAGCAATAAATAAGTTAAGAATAACGAGAAAAAAACAGCAGACAAAATTATTATTTAAATACTCATATTACATCTGAATAATAAAAAATAGCTGCACTGTACGCAAAAAAAAACTGTTAAAAAATCAGTGATTTGCCGCAGTATCACCAGTACTAACAATCAGCGCCGTTGGGTGAGGAAAAACGACAAAGCCAAATTCATGCAAAAAATACGGAATAAACCGGGCTGGCAAACAAATTTACCAACCAGAAAGTCGCTATTCGCCGTACTGCATTTATCATGCATACAGCGCCGACGCGCACACCAACTAGCTCGCTCTTTCATAAAACTTCGAAAATTACTCCCCGAATTTTTTAATTTAATTCAAGTTCAACACATAATAATTTATTTATCAAAAAATAATTTCTATAAGTTACGACTACTGAGATAGCGTTCTCTTCTTGCAAAATGATACTCGTAACCTCCGTATCCTGACCCGGCTTAAAGCCTCTGCACTACAATCATCGACGTAACAGATTCCGATAAACGACGTCTAAGTACATAATATCCTGAGCTGCAAAGGAAAATAGTGATTAAAATACAGTAAATGTTTTAGAGTAATTTTAAATAGAAGAAAACCTTTATTTTAAAAAATGAAATATAGTTAAATTTTAATTTAAAAGCTTTTTCAGTGAGATTCTTTTAACGGTGCGCAACTGCAGATGATTAGTCATCACATTATATACAATAATTTCAAGTTTAAATTTTCAAAGCGCACAGGTAAGCTGCAGAAGAAAATGTAGAAGAATTCAGAACAAAAACAGCATGATGTACCTCTTTGCGGAGACGATCCAGTTCCGGCTGCATGGAGGTGGTGCGTTTGCGCCACTCTTCCAGCTCATCCTGGAGACGGGCGGCCGTCTCGGCGTTGCGATCCGACAGGGTCAGCAGGTCGCGAATGCGGCTCTCGGAGCGGCCCTCCACTTCCGCCCGGACATTCTTAATCATGTCCTCGTACTCGTTGCGCAACTCCTGCAGCTGCTGCACCAGCTTGGACTCGAATTCATCCTGCAGGCCCTTCTGCAGGTCGTTCAGCAGGTACTGCCGCTGCGTGCGTTCCTCACGCAACGTCTATAACACAGACAGATAGTTAACTATTTATAACTTAACACATTACTAATTAATTTATTCATTAAGCTATTGATTGCTCATTTAATAAATTTATTTATTGATTATTGAATAACTTAAACTTGATTATCATTTAGTTACTTGCCCAGAGTAAAGCCACAACAGCAGTAAATAACCTTCAATAATAAATGCAAATTCAGAAATAGCATTATGATGTTACAATTCCAACGGAAAGTTTTCAAATCTGCAAAATCATTACGAGTCAGTGTACAGTGATTATGTTTGTTCAAAGCAGATCACCATTACTTCCGTCATTTTTAATTAATTTGTCTTATTAACACGCGTTACCATAAAGATATCTCTGAATAATATTAACTGTTAAGTGTAAAACACTTCGTGCTGACCGAGTAAACAGATTCACTGATACATACATACATACACAAAAAAAGAGAAAGAAATCCTCTAAAATCACCATGTAAAGATTTGGTAAGTACGTAAATCTACCAAAAAGTAATCCTTAAAAAAGCTAAGTAGAAAAACAAAATTTTACTAATAAATACAGATTATACAGTTAAAGTTGTTGAGTAGCACGTCATCACTTTTGTGTCCGAATACTCTGTATATACACTGCACTACGAACTCCTCGATTTTATACTGTTCGGTTTCTCGGAAACAGTGAAAACGGATACACAATACACATATTGTCCAATATATGAAAACACACACGATAAATTAAAATAAATAATTTTAGCGTCGCATTAAAAAAAACATACTAATATGAGTAATGACTATCACACTGCCTTTTTGGCCTTTAATTTACCCTTGGGATTCGGGAATTATCTCCACTCGAAGGCATAAGTATTTAGAAAAACACACGAAAATTCTTTTAAAATCGCTAATAAATTATTTTCAAACTGACGAACCACTATTTACGCTGCACCGGAAGTGACCGGCCGTACTGACCTCATGCAGCGTGTTCTTCTCGAATTCGTACTCCTCCTCCTTGGTCTGCAGTTTGTTCTCCAGATCGGCCACGCGGACGCGCTCATTATCGTAGTCTTTTTGTAGCTGCTGTACTTGGGCGCGTAAAGTGTTGACTTGCACGCGGAGGTCCTACACAAACAGCACAACGCTGCAGATTACCGTGCCGGTTGAACGGTAAAACAACAGGCTCACTTTGTTGTCGCTCTCCAGCTGTTGGCGCGCGTCCAGTGCTTGTGACAGTCGGTGCTGGAGGTCGGCGATGGTGTCCTCGGCCTGTCGGAGTTTGGCTTCCAGGGCGGCGTTCTGACGCTCCAACGTCGCCGCTCTATAACCGAAATATCATAAAAATTTTATGAATCAAATACCAAAATATAAAAATCGTTGAAATTAGCAAAAAGAGTATTTTTTAAAAAAATATTAAAACAATTTCGCATACGAACGTATTAAAATTTTAAAAAAAGTACGAATTAATAAAATTTTGCACCACTGAAATAAAATGAAAAAAATAATATTAAAGTACTTATTCAACGTAAAGATGAAATAGCACGATATTATTCGGCATTAAAGATTTTCATTACATATTTTACTGAAAATATTTCTATGAATGCGCTTATAAAACGAAATATGCTGCAATACTGGCGTATTGATAAAAAAACGTATCGCTCGCAGATGGCATTATCTTCTTATTCTTTAAATCATAATCAACGTTTTGCAACCATCAGATTTGCCGGGCAATATGCCGCTGCACTACGACCAATTACATTCATATCGTCAATACGCTTCAGACTTGATATGACATTTAAAAAATAATAAGATTAAAATATAAATAAAATAATGATACAATAAAACTAATAAAATTTCATAACGAACTATACGAATACTGTACTACCATGAAATAAATGGCCAGTTTGATAGCAACACCGGGAAGCCGGATAGAAAATATTACCGCGTTCATAAATCATTTTTCAAATGGTTAAAATACACGCCATTTTAATTTTGTTTGTAACTCTTAAGAAAAATGTTTTACCACAATTTCCGTCTTAAACCACAAAATTATCTATCATCGGTTGATGTTGACAGGCCGGACTGCTTAAGAAACAGACAAGTGGAGAACAAACAAACTACTCGGTGCTGACTGACATAAGAAACTGCGCGGATTACGCGAACCATTATGATAATCAGTAGGCGAATAATGGATGCAACAAAGCACCGATGGATGCCGGCGGCATGTTGCTGTTGCCAAATAATCACACAATCAACAATATCATACAGCATATATTAAATCTGTACGCCAACGTGGCTGCTTTTTAATTAAATTTCGCCAAATTTTAATCACCATAAAACCGAATTTCCTTGTACAGCCAAAGAAACAAAAATTAATTTTACGAAGGTGTTTGCCGGAATTTTGTTAGACATGTGAATGATCGTAGTGTGTCGGCTTCAAATTCCAACGAATCACTTCCGAACTCGCTACTGCTGTCTAAATTTTAAATTCGAAAACTAACGCCGATCAAAATAGGTTCATTTTTTGGCGAATTAATCATAAATAAAGGGCACAATTAACACAGTTTAAAATGGTCATTTTCAGACACGCGGGCTTCCAGTTTAAAAGATTTTCTTAGCGGATTTTTCGCTGTAGTGCAGCGGAAGAAAATTCAGCAACCATTAAACTGCCAAACAAATCACTAATCAAAAACATCATACAGCATATACAATATTAAATCCATACGACGACGCGTCTGTGTTTTAATGAAATTCCGGCAAATTTTAATCACCGTAAAACCGTCTTTAAGCCAATTAAAAACCGAAAAACGAACTAATTTCACGAAGTGTGTGCCGCATCCAATTCACGTTGAGAATGATCGTAGTGCTTCGGCTTTAGTGCGCGACGAAAAACTTGCGATGCTGTTCTCAACTCTCAAGTCGTCAAAATCCAATGAAATTAACGCAGTACGTAGATACTTAAAAAATATTTTTTGTCAGTAAATCCAACCAATGGTAAATTTAATTTAAATTATGCTACTACTTTTGCCGACACGCTTCCAGATAAGCCAAATTAAAAAGTTTCTCAGCGGATTTGTTTGCGGTGCGCCGGAAGACAATGCAACCGCCATTAAAATGCCACACAAATCATCCAACATCACCGCATCAAAACTGAACCAGGTGACACAGTTCATATAATGATTAAGATTATGTGAATGGAGATGGACAGATTAAATCGCGGCGGGCAAACAGGTGGCCGGCCGAGAAGTTCAAGCGGAAAATTACTGCGACTGGCCACGACAGCAGAGAAAAAATGAACTGCATTCATGGCACACCCGACCGCAAACTGTGAGTACTGATCGTTCAGCAGATGATCAAAGAAAACTGGTTCTCACTCAAATCATGTTCTTCTTAATCTTCAACATTACAAGTTCCGCGTTCCTGCATATTTTTCCGTCATACCAGCGCAGAAAAATAGTCCCAGAAAACTGAAAGTCAGGATCCACAACTAAAACTACTGACAAAAAAAATTTATGATTATTCATTTATATTTATATAAAATTCAAGAAATGCATGTATTTAAAAATAAAAAAAAAACAGAATTTAGCGAATAAGTTTAATGTTTTTAAAGGACTGCCAAGCGCCAAAAATTACGGAACTATATAGATAACACAATTTTTCAGTAATTTTTCAAAAACACACTGACAACCCTGACAAGAAAAAACGAGTATTCGTCAAAAAGAAATTTCAACGAATAGTGTAGTGAAACGGCAAACTTCGGAACAATTGCAATCACATCATAATCATACAAATTCAATATGTAACAAACTGGATTTTAAAAAGATTTTTCAGAAATATGTAATTGACATTCTTTTAAATAGTCAGAAATTTTTTTCGTAAAATAAAACAGCCATTTCTGCATTTAGCGACGATAGTCTCTATTTTTTCAAAAGACAAATGCAACGAAATGTAGAATAAAAAATTTAAAGGAGAAAATAAGCTGGCTCATTTTTAAATTTTTAAATGCTCTTAAAAACCACGACAAAACAGCACAAAAATTCTTGGCAATAAAATTGCTGGTTTTCTAATTCAAGTAGCGAGCATAAATACTGTATCAAATTTTTGTAGGTCATCGGTAGCGACTAGTGTTGGCCGGTGTGCTCGAAAACGTCCCACTCGAGTGGTCTGATGGAGATTTTATTGCGGTTACCGTTAAATCGCTCTGCTTGTAACAGTTTAACTCACCGACTGCTCAGCGATTTGTTCTCTGTTTCGAACGCGTTCCGCTCCATCTGCAGGCGTGCATTGTCGCGCAGCACATCTTCCAGCTGTTTGCGCAGTTTAGCCAGTTCATCGTCGTAGTTCTTCGATACACGGGTCACTTCCGTTACCGTATGGTGTTCCGCCGTCTGCAACTGACGCTGCAAAAAAAATTAAAAAATTTAAAAACATCATAAAACCTTTCTTAATAAAATCGTAAAATCCTGCAGCAAAATCGTAAAATCCTGCAAAAATAATCATCGTCTCCAGCTTTTTGGCAGTAAAGAACAAATAAACAAAAATACACTTTACAAATATAAAATTATTAAAATCAATACCAAAAGGAAAAGCCGATCAAAAACTATATATATTCGCTGAAAAAATGGTAATTTTATTTCGTCGGCAACTCGATTTGTCTATCGGCGCTGTATGCTGCAAAAAAATGAGTCGAAAAAATTTACAAAATTGCAAAACCTTTTAGAAAACATAAAAAATGACTTACTATAACAATCATCGTTCGCCGAAATTTTTACAGCTTCTCAGGATAGGCAACCTTTCAAAATTTAACGAGTAAAAATTAACTAAAATAAACTACAATTAAACTTTAACGCCCATATAACAGCATTTATAATCGCAAAAAAGGCAGTTTTTTTCTCGTCTGAAGCAAACTGATTTTTCTGATACCGGCGCCGGGCGCTACGTTTACGACTTCTTCCGTACACAGCCGATAAAACCCGGTATTTTTCAATGAAACGAGAAATTCCTGGCGGATTCACGGCCAAAATTCCTGCGTTAACGACTGGCAAATGACCGGCATTTCTGACAACAAATAGTAAAGATGTTTTACGCGCTGCGCATAGTTTTATTTTCTGCGTCAACACATAAACACGCCGATCTGCCGGTGCGGCTATCAGCGGAATGAGTAAGTATCAGGTGTGCCAGCGTGGATGATGGCACTCGATAGCGGCGAAGGACGTGCAGACGGTTGCGGTTGACGGGACTCGAGTGGGCCCCGTGCTCAGGTGCAGCGCAGCACCCAGCCGAATTCAAAAAGGAAACAAATCGATGGCCGCTCCACAGAATGACAGCGCATGCTGCCCACGCTGGCCAATGTTGCCGAGCGAAAGCAACCGAGCGAAGAGAAAATAATGTAGTATTACCAAAACACACCGTCGAGCCAAATGCAGAAATCCGTGTTAATTAATAAGGTGAACTTCAAAACATTTATGTATATCTCTTTTAGTCCAGCTCGCTTATTCTTTTTATGCAAAAACAGGAATGCGGTAGACGTTCGAAAATAGCGCCGGTTTATACACAAAATCATAGTGTAATTTTTAACGAATATTCCTAGGAAAACATGCTTTTTTGTAAATACTGCGTCGAAAAGATCGGCTATTCAGTGCCTAACACATAACCAGCAATGTAGTGTAATGGCTTATCCACAACCCATTCTATCGAAATTTAAATTCTACAGAGTCAAAATAACTTAGAACTGATAATTCGACCGGATTTAAGAAACCATATTTTTTAGCTGAACTGATGAACTAAAAGATGAACTAAAATTATTATGCCCAATAAAAATTTAAATGCGCATTATTTAAAATTTTTAATTATTAAGGATCCGCAACACTGAAAATTCATACTGAGTAGGGGTAATGTAATGGCGGACATTTCTCGTTTATTAAAACCTTAGAAAATTTTTTAATACAAAATAACCTCAGATATGGAAGCACAGCGCGGCTGCGCAACATTTTATCGGAAACGAGAAAAGCGGTTTCCTTCCGTATTTGCTTAACGGAAGACGACCGGGCGCATGTGCACACGCATAACCAGCACATTTACGATATTTTTCATGTTGCTTTTATCGCCGGTTTTTCTTTCAGCCGCTCCATAAAACGCTGAACCACACACACTACCTTACTTGGCCACAAAAATACCATTAAATGACCGGGAAAAAAAGCGAATAATAATAATATAGCCATTGAACACAAAAGCATTTACCGCCTAACAATTTATGCTACAATTTCCAGTCACCCGATAATAACGACAATTATTTTTACAGTTTTACTATCTAAAATACAAGAAACTAATATTATTAAAAAATATTTACGTAATGCAAAAAAATATTTTTATTAAAAAGAATATTAACGTAATATTTTTAACAGGGCGATTATCATACCACCTATATTAAAATAAAATGCAGTGTTAAAAAATTTATAAAAGTACGTCGCGCACCTGATTACGATCCCTGTTCATCTGCCGTTACACGCATCGACATGTCACAAAAAAACAACCACACACACCGCAATTAACACACCAATCACCGCAAACTTCTTCCACTCACCTGCAACGCCACATTCTCATTTTCCAAATTGCGGATCCGGTCGATATACTTCGCTAATCGCGTGTTCAACGCCTGCAGCTCATCCTTGGAGTGCACGCGGTCCAGATGGGCCGTGGAGCCCCGAATGGAGGAGGCCATGGGGAACAGTTAGAACACCGTTCCAAAACACACACTGCTTCAACAGTGTTTTAATCATCCACTATGCTGCGAATACGGTGCGACGGAGCAAAAGAAAACCAGCCGAAAAATAACGCTCCCAGCCAAATACAATACCGAGATACTTCAGGTCATTACATAATGCAGCAGCCCCAGTACACAAAACAAGTTTAAACAAAAAAACGACTCTCTCACAGCGTGAGCGGAATGTGCGTGCATCAGCATCGAGGGTTTGTATTGGTTAAAGATACGGATTTGCGTCCATCGGATATTTCAAGACTGCGCTGAAACGGCCGCGTCTAATACGTGTTTGTACCCGTCGAGCGCGGCGTACAGGTACGTGACGACCTGCGCACCTGTCTACGTACTGTGTCAATCGATCGATGAAACCTCGAATAACTCATTGCAGGCGCGGCTCTGTGCTGACCGCTACGCCGAAACCTAACGCTATCTAAATATTTACAAAGTAATTCTAATTGTGGATTTATTCATTTTAATGGATAACCCTGATTTCTCACAAAAAACCCGAACAAACAACGGTTAAATGCGCGGGCTGAGGAAACCGGGACGGGTGCCGCTTGCGCCGTGTTATTAAGCGCGCGTACGAGCACACGTTTGAGCTGATGATGGAGTGGTCAAATTGAAATTCCGCTGAGAATGGACGGTGCTGGTATTTCCGGCGGAAGTCAGGCTGTGGTTGATGGGGGGCCATTTTTCATAATGAAACCAGCAATGTGCTGCGCATGGCTGGCAGTGAAGAGCAAACAGAGAGAGAGAGCGAGATGCTCTAATGGAACCGCAACGGAAAGATCAATGACCTGAGCGAAGTGGGCGAGATGCACTTGTACGTACACAGGTGCAATGGTGAGCTGTACGCAGGTACGGATTTGCGCGCGCTTTTATCTGACGGTGAGTTCGTACAGCTTCTACCGGACGTACAAGCGGCACCGGGTACGCACTCGCTCACTGGTCAGTAGAGCTTTGTACAACGGACTGTACAACTGTATATCCGCTGTGCACAGGTACGCTTGGTACGGTGCACTGAGCGCAAAATATTATAATATTCGTACAGCTTTGTGCAGCGCCTATTACGTACTGTATATCCGCTGACCGTGAGCACACTTGAGCTGTACAAAAAAACCTCGTTGTTCATTGTTGTGACGGGTGGCATTGAGTAATACAGGGATCTAGTGATCCAGCACGGTTTGCCTTGCACCGAAGGATGTTTACACAGCGGCCAAGTCGACGCCTGTCCAAATTGACATTGCCCGCGCAATGAATGAAAACTATTGTTCACCATGCAGCGAAAACTTGACCAAATCTCAAGTAAACTGGCCGCCAAACGTAAATTTCAATAGGACAGCCCTGGCATCGTTAAGACGCTAATAAACAATAAACAACTTAATTTTGAATTGTGGTTGTCTAACTTTGAAACATGACTTGTTGCATGATTATGGAGAAATAAAATGCAGTAAAAAAAATCGAATTTGAAAAAATAAATCGCATTAAGTCATTCAACAGCAAAATTGGACGAATTAATAAATTATTATAAAAATCTCAATTTTCGGGAAATTTATGGTGATTAAATAAATTTAAATTAATACAACGAAAAAAATTAAAAAAAAGTTTTCACGGAAAACGAGAAAAAATCCGATGCTGTCAACTTTTTAATTCGAATCACAAATAAGCGAAACGGATGAAATTAAAATCGTAACATTTTACTGACGATCGCAAAAAATCCCGAAGTTGTTTCCGCGTTAAAGAATATCAAAGAAAATAAATAAAAACGTCTCTAAAAAACTATCAAACAAAACATAACGCTCTGAAACGCCAGCAACATAACGCTCTGAAACGCTCTGAAACGCTTTGGATACAGCAGATCAAAGGAAACCAGGGAGAAATTCGGGTTGAATTAATAGGAAAAAAAGACCAAGACATCCACCTACTTCGTCTTTACAGCATGGTACAGAATGAGAAAGCAGCGCATGTACAGGCAGCAGATATCCACGCCCAAATCCCTTTCACGCCCGCAAAATAAACGGCTCATCCTCCTCGGCGGCGGAGGCCACCCGCGGGCGTCCCATGTACGACGAGTAGCCCATGGAGTCGGAGCGCCGTCGGTAGCGCAGCCACAGGAATAAAATCCCCGTTATCAACGTCTGCAAAAAAAATTAAGAAAAAAATATAACACGATAACAAACCAAAAAGATCCATAAAAAGCAGCTGCGAAAAACGCGGATGTAAAATTATGAGAAACCGAAATATATGTAGATCGTTAATAGCAACTGAAAACATCAGGGGCACGAAAATGTAATATTTCGCTAATAACTAATAATTTAAAAACGACATCAATAATGTCCGCAACACGATAATACAAAGGATATTATTTTAAAGACGATAACCCAGAAAAAAAAACGAAAGAATTAACAATAAAAAATTGTAAAAAAAAGGTATCAAGATAAAAAACGAGGAAAATACATAACTACTCTGTATCTATCAGAAGTTTCAGTATTAATGCGTGGTAGAGGACAACGACGGAACAACATACAGCCTCTGTACTACGTTTTTTTTCCTGATAATACGAACGTACCACGCAGATCTGCAGTATCGCGAAGCCACTCAGCGTCCACTCGAAACCGACATCATCGTAGAATGCACCCCCGATCGTCGGACCAAGAAACGCCCTATCGGATAAAACTGTTCCTCCTAACCGTAAGCAATTGAAAAAAATTAAAAGAATTATGTTCACCCTAAGGATACTGCGGAATTCAGGCTGCCCGACACCATGCCGTATGTGTCAATAGTCTCCGGAAATCCATGCTCTCTGAAACGATCAACCCGTCATCATCAACACCGACAAATGTCGGATATCAGATCAACAATCAGATAAAATAAAATTAATACAAATTTAACACAAATCAAAAAATTCCATATAGTACCAATTAAGTATTACAAATAATTCATAACAAATTGTACGAAAACCACATGTATTTGCAGCTATATGAAAGCATAACTGGAATTAGGAATTATCCGTGTGAAAATAACATAAAATTCTGTAGTAGAACTAATACAGAACCACAAGAATGAAAAACTGCAATCATCAATCCACATACCTAAAAATAAACTGTCATAAAAATATTAAAAAAAAACAAAGTTATGATTTATAATTTAAACATCAGCGAAGAACTAAACAGTGCAAAGAAAACTGCAATATTACTTTATTTTAGATTAAAAAAATTATGTAAATCAAAATCAAACTTGAGAGTAGCAGTATAATGTACATGTTTCAACTTGAAAAGATGATTCGCTTGTAACCTCCAGTGGAATAACGTATTTCCTTCTTGCCGGCCACTGTACTACGTAATAACACGATGTTCCTACTTTAATACCATGGTACAGGTATCAATAGAAACTGTACAGTACAGTTTGTACAGGGCTCAAAATTAATGGTACCGTAAAATACGAATATGAATGCGCTAAATGAAAACGTTTAATATTTAAACAGTAACAATCATTTTGTCGAATAGTTTACTGGAAAAAAATGCACTATAAATACAATGTGTAACTTAGGTTAATATGTAGAACTTAAATGCGGTATTTCCTCAATGTTTACCACGTCAACAACTGTCCTACAAGCGATGAGCACTCACATGGCTGTTTGTAGATTTTTGCCAAAGGGCGGAATCAGCTGCATACCGACGCCGAAGCCCATGCACACGTTACCGATGATGATCAGCCAGAGACGGTGCAGATCGGCCGGGAAGATGGGCGAGGGGCCCATGAGTAAGTAGGCCACCACCGAGAAGACGCCACCCGCCAGGATGAACTCCCAGGCCCGCCCGAAACGGTCTAGAGCGTAGCCGATCAGGGGCGCCGAGAAGAAGTACACCGCTGTCGGGATCATGAACACCAGACTCAGCAGGATCTGCTGCGGGACGAACTGCAAACAAAAACAACTCTAACTTCAGATGTGTTGACAACCGGTGGACAATTTTATTAATCAGCAGCTAAACTTGAGAATCTAGATAAAACTTCCAAACGCTTAAAAGACGACGAAAAAGGGCATAGGGGAAAAACAAAACGCCGTTATTCGATCTCTAGAAGCAAAACAAAATAGCCAACTCTTAACTATTACACGATCTTGTGATCACATGCTTGAATTTAACGTTCTGTAATGGTCTCTTTAATGCCGTTGCACTACGCTTTATCGCCATTTTAAAAGAACAGTATGTACATAGTGCGCTTCATGCAATGGATTCATCGCCAGTAAAAACGTTCCACCACTTTATTTATTCCAAAATTTATTTACCGTTCACCAAAGAAATTATTTACCGTTTTCAGAAAGTAAGCACCGTAATAATCAAAATAAAAGTAAACTACATAAAAATATTGCTAATTGCAAGGAATATTCATATTCAAAATGTTACTGATTGTGAAGGGGATTTGGTATACTTGTACTCCAACTATAGCCACTCCACAACGTTATGCCACGCTAATTCATCTGTGCCATGACGTACATCACGCATGTCTAATTGCTCACGTCAGCTCCTAAGTTTTTGAGGTAGAAAGCTTCTGAATAATCATCTTTCAGTACAGTTTAAAAGCGATCGGATTCCAATAAATAATCCTGTCAATGTCAATTTTCCGAAAAAATTTAAAACACCCGAAGTAATTCCGTGCTTTGAACAACACATTCTTGGACAAAATTTATTCCATTTCATATTGAATAAATCCTTCCACGGCAAACAACATTTCAGGATCATGTAATTTATTCGGTTGAATCGCTTAAAGAAAGATTTTAATTTTACATATTGTTAGTATAAATTGATTCTTTTAAAAGGTGCCCTATCATTGCTGTCTGAAGTGGCTGGAAAAGGATGCACGGATAAATCCCACTTAGACAGCCATATAATTTATTTTACCTAATTTTTTTAATTCGTACAATGCAATTAATTAGTGCAACTAGACTTTTATTACTGCTAATAAAATGTTACTATTATAATACTAACAAATTTAATTATTTTATTAATTATCGTCAACGTCCGCGGTTTTACCTGTCTGAGATGATTGGAAAAGGATGCATCGATGAATCCCATCCCGCAGGTGATGGTGAACACCGCCAAGAGCGTCACCAGCACGGCGGGGATTTTGATATAATTCTTGAAGGTGCCGTAGTCGCGGCCGCGGCTGGTTTTGTTCAGCGGCAGCGTCTTCAGCGCCAATAATCCGCACAGTATCACCACGCCACCCAGCACCAGGAAGGGCGTCTTAAAGCCACCCAGATGGAACAAACTACCGCCGATCACCGGGCCCAGCATGAAGCCCAGTCCGCTGAAGGTCTCGCACGTCCCGAACATGGTCGACACCGAGTTGGGGAATTCGTCCGCGATCACCGTGAAACTGGCTACAACCGATTCAACCGGCAAAAATTAACAAATAAATATTAACTGGTTTAAAAATTATCTAAAATACAACTAGTAATCCACTTAACTATTAATTAACGAGAAAATATCAATTAAATGTTAGCTACCACCAAAATATTAATTTATTCACATATTAATTAAAAGAAAAATACCCACTCATCTGAATATCCATTAAAAGAAAAACGAATATCCATTAAAAGAAACATCAATTGATCTCAGTATCATTTAACAGACAAATCATTAATTTCCGAAATTCCGTTTATCATCGAAAATAACGCTACATATATACTGCGAAACAGCGTGGTCACCAGAAATTCAAATAAAATGGTAAAAATGAGAAACAGACAATTAAACACAGTAGGTTGCAATGTGATAATTGTAAGTTACAATACAACCGATGCTAGTTGGCTAAATCGACCACGATCACCGTGAAACTCCTGCATAAATTCAATCGGGAAAAATTAAATGCCGAAAAATTAATGCAAACAAACAAAAAAACTCCGCTAATTTAAAAAAACGCATCCATAGCTCTGGTGAAAGTGCAATCCCGTTGAATCAAATACCGCGGTAGCCTTTGAAAATCTGGAAGCCATCATGCAACACTCACCATGTCTGTTTTGCGTTAAAGATGGTTTAAAAAAATAGTAAAATCTTTATATCTTTATTCAGATTATTTACACAGTTTACCACATTCTGAAACTGTAGTTAAACGACTACCCAAGAGACTCAAATACTGCCACTACACTACGAAGTAGTCCACAACTAACGCAACACTAGCATGATTTACCACAATACAAATGGAAGTTTCGGTAGTACCTAATTTTGTAGCAGTAGTGTCTGGTTAATACTGTCAAGGAAAAATACAAAAAAAAGCACCGGATTATCCGGCCGAAAAGATTATGCATCTGAAAATTTTAAAAATGGGCATTCAAAAAAATTAACACATTGGGGAAAATAAATATGAAGTTATTGGCCATCAGTAAATCTTAGCAATTATAAGTTGCATCTAAACACCGAAGCACTTGCAAACCCTCTGTACTACGAAACCTCATTACTAAAATGCAACTAGCACAGCCGAATATTAAATACTTACATATTAAACAACACAGCATCTCAATGACATTTAACACCAGTTTTTTAGTCTAAAAACTCATATAAAAAACACATTATAAATGTCAATGATAAAAACTTTATTAAATCAAAAAAAGATAAAAAAAAAATTAAACGAAAACCAATGCCAAAAACTCACGGACGCTTACAAATATAAATGAAAAATCGGAGAGGCTGACAAAACATGCCGGAAATAATTTAATAATTCATGATTTAATTAAATAATTTAATTCATAAGTCATTTGCAAAGAAATATGTAGCAAAATCCGGAAGAAGTTACACCGTCTACCATAAAACAAGCGAGCTATTTCGATAAACACTTCTCGAAATTTTTCCCAGAAATGTATGCAGATATGTATGTCAATGGTTATGCGCGAGGTACACTTACACGTGACAACGGCGGAAGCGCCCAGTCCCTCGACGAGACGGGTGAGGAAGCACATGGCGACGAAGCTGGAGGAGGGACAGTACTCCAGCACGCCCATCAGCGCCGCCGCACTCCCGGCCACCATGATGCCCGACACGTACATGAACTTGGTCCCGATGTTGTGGATCTGCCGTGGATCAATTAAAAGCTTACATTAATTTACCATGAAAAACAACTCTGCAAACAGTAATTCAAAAAGATACTAGATAAACTCTTAACCGCATTGAAAGACAAGCAACAGCAAAATATGTACGTGTATTTAGAAAATATGTACCTGTATTTAAAAATAATTACAAATTTCAAACATAAAAATATGTACATGTATTAAAATTATAGCAAAACAAATCGATACCGTCACAAGAATATCACTAAATAAATTACAAAGCGGGTACAGTACAGAACCAAACGCAAAAAATTAAGGTGACGTGATCACAAATTCAACAAAACGTCATAATTCTTGCATACTAAAGCGGCAGTAAAATGTCATTTTTTGAAAACTACGCCACTCCACTACAGATACAACAGCAAGCGGAATTCGCAGTATTTTCACCTAAAAAGTGCAAAATTCCACACGTCGATATTTATAACGGTCATTAACAAGAGTAAGTGTCAAATACAAGAATGACTCTCACAACAACATTACTAAAAACCCACACGTATATGGCGTAAATTTAATGCAGAAAAACTTGATTCGAACGTTTTAATTTGATTTTTGACTATTTTTCCATACTTCGAAGGCGAGATGAAGGTTGATTTAATTCAGGCAACAAAGTGTCGATAATCTACAAATAATTCAAGGAAAATTTCAATATTCCGAAGCAACTCACCGTCAAACCCCAGACGAAGGAGAAGACGAAGATGACCAGCTGCATAATCCCGAAAATCAATCCCACATCGCTCTCCGTCGCCCCCTTCTCGTGCGCCTACACGAAGGATTAAGTTTCAATGTGGGAAGACTTACTACTTTTAAACCTATTAATTTTAGTAAAAGAACATTTAATACTTTACAATTTATCAATTTCCTTACGGCACAATTAAAAACTGATTAGTTTTCAATACGGAAAAAATATAACACTGCGTTATGTTTTATTACTTACAAAGGAGGGAAAAAACACGGCGATGCACGCATAGAAAGTCGATGTGAAGAAATTCCCCTGCAAAAATAAAATCGGTTAATTTCACACAGTTTCACCGCATCTCCGAAAGTTTATTTAATCGGCCTCTCCGTAATAACTTATAATTTACTGTTATTAAAAATTATTTATCATAATAATTCGCCAGCAGAAATTATCTACCGCTTTCATATAATTTATCCGTTTCCATAAGTTTTCTATTTTAGTACATTTTTGTCACAGTGTGGCAGCCATTCGTAAAGCATCGGACTTGAACGATCAGGCCGGTGTAAAGCCACTGCACTACACTGCTCGCTACATCCTACGTACTTTGTACTGAGTTTGTAGCCGTTCTCGGTTCTCTTAGCTAGCGAAATACGAGTACATTCGTAACATTCTCATTTAAAAATGCTAAAAACCACAATAAAATCCCAAATTTAACCACAATTTTCCCGTATTTCTCAGGCGTTACAGGTTATTTTTCGGAATATTTTCAACTCACCAAGCATAACGTCGCCAGAATGATCTTCTTGTCGCGCGATACGGAGAAGAAGTTCTCGTACCGCGGACGCTCCTCGGGATTAGCAGGGGATAATAATGGGTCGGATGGCATCATTTTCGGGAAAAGATACGAGGGAAAATAAAACTAAACTATCGGAAAATCCGTGAATGTGGAGCTAAATGATCAAGGTTCCTGAATCTCGCAGCATCAACGCGACTTTCTCACCAGACACTCGCATGCCCCAGTTGGCCTGATTGTCAAGCAGTGCAGTGTAATCAGGAGGACTCAAGGGCGCTGATAAGATAAGGCAGAGAGAACTGTACGACACATGCTGTTCGTCAGAAGCCCATCGGACGAGCAGAAATCAGGTCAAATTAGGCAAATTCAAAAATGAAAAATCCGAAGAAAACTCAAATTACGGAAAGTGCACGCACGATATTCACGACTTCAGCAGCGCGTTTACCATTTTGACTCAGATAGAATCGTTGATTAGATGATTTCCAACATCATAATCTTTTCGAAGCCACAATTATGGTAAAATCAGAAAAACGCTTGTCTATCAGTCACTCTATCTAAAAATCAAACGCCACGCAAAATTTGACGTTTTGATTTGGGTGAATTTCGTGAGCCAACGGCGAACACGCATTGGAGTTGATCGTAGCGTAGCGAGCCGAGTGCCACATCCTTGGTTGGCACGTGGCAACGTAACTGACGCTCGTGTGCGGTGGCCCATACCACTCGCTGTTCAAACCTAGAGTACGTCTTCGAAAATTCGTAGCTTTGTTTCTGTTCATTCCTGTGTCACATTTTTTTGTATAATCTTGAAAGATACAGAGTAATACTAAAAAATTAGCATATAGAAACCATGGAAAATCGGAAAAAAACTTATTCAATTTATTTACCAGGGTAATGTGCTTTTGATGTGTTCGTCAACCACATAACCTTCTTATTACGTTTTATTTTCTCCAAGCCGGCACTTTCTTTGCTTAATCCACAAAAGAACACAACATCCTGCTTAAACAGAAATTTCTAATTCACTGCGGCTTTTTGCCGACTTTAAAAAACTTTTTCTTCCCGGATTTATTCACATATTTATTGCCCGGGATCTTCTGGTCTTTCTTCCACTTTTTGGACCGCTCCGTGGCTTTTCCCGCTTTGCGTTTTCCGGCGTTGTTGCGGACTGTCGGTGCCGTTCCTGCCTTTCGATTCTTCAGTGTGATTTTTCGCTGATTTATACTCTTCGGCTCCGCAATCTCTCCGCCGTTATCCGCGTTTTCTTCGGCTTTAGGCTGAAATTCTTGCGGAATGCGAGACTGAAACCTCCGGCTGATTTCTGCAAAACGATACACTTACGAATGGGAAAATCAATTTTTACAAATTACAAAAAAAACATCACAAATACTAATAAATACAAAAAACATTACAAAATTCAATTACAACAAAATTATTAAAATAAAATATGTCATGAAAATTTGCGCGTATATTACGAGTGAATTACATAAGAAACGCACCAAGATGATATTCTACGCTGTACTGTAACTGAATTATTCATTTAAATTTCATTAATCAATCATCAATTACGAACAAAGGGATTTGGATAAGCAAACTATTCAAAAATTCAAATAAAAAAAAACTGTGTTATCAATTATTAATAACACAATTGTGTTATCAATTATCTCGTAATTACTGAATTTATTTCTACAGTATTCTATTTGTTCCTGTTGAGCTTCAGTTAATCATTTAAACCACCTTCAATTTTTTAATGATATCATTGCTTATATTTTTATTTAATTAAAAGGCGATTTAAATTCCAGAAATTAATATCCAATTACCGTCGGAATAACCGAGCAAATTTACAACCCGCAGGTTGGAATCCGAATCATCACCCGCCACTGCGACGATGTAGGGAGAATTCGGGGAAAATGTGGCAAACTGCAACTCACCCTGAAAAATCAGCAATTTCGTCAATCTAACGCCGGACAATTATCTGCATATAATTTCAATAAAAAATGCAGTGGACGCGCCACACCAATAAAATCAGCGAAATTGAATATTCTCGACTCCCAAAGAATAATTTCCCAAAACGGTTTCACACAATTCCCCTTACAAATCAAGTTTACAAATCAAGTTCTAAGATAGGAAAATATTCCAGATTTAAAAGGAATACGTTCCCAAATAATTTGCAAAGAAAAACAAAATAGGTAATCACACACCTTACAAGACTGATATTATAATTTAAAAAGCAAATTACATAAATAACAACTGCTTACTTAAAAACCCATTAACATAATTTGGAAAGAATTCTAGAAATAAATTTTACAAAAAATTTATAAAACAGATTCATTAAAGTAAATTATAAAGCATTCACACCATTCGTGATAGAACTCCAAAAATAAATTTAAACTACAGTAAATTCCCAATTCTAATTTTCACAGTACACGGAAAAAATTTAAAAAATAACAGCAAGTATATAAAATTCCTCAAACGATTCGACAGTTTAATTTACTAATTCAAAATTTACCCGCCTACCAAAGATAGAAAATAATTAATTGTAAAATCGAAATACACCTTTTCCAAAAACCTCGGCAAAACTCGAGAATAAAAATTGGTACCATTTTAAGTCGCTGGGAATAAACGGGTTCGATGGTGTTGCGCGCGGGATCCGCATCCCAGATTTTGACGTATTTATCCTCGGAGACGGTGAGGAGCAGTCCGGGCGCCAGCGCACTCTCCGTCAGTCCGCCGACGGCTTTCTCGTGGGCGTCCACGTGGAAGACGTGATTGTCCGTGTTGCGCACGTCGAACATGTACAATCCACCGGCGTCATCACTCACCTGTATTCAAACAACATTTCTAAAAATTTAGCAATCGCCCAATGCGATCGACGAATTATCAGAGGGATGACTTGTTTAAAAATTAGAATTAATTGGCAAATTATTATCATAAACATATAAAATCTTGCGCAAATCATTTGTACAAAAACAGCAATTAGTTGTACAAAAATATGAATTATCGCGCTAATTATTTACTTAAATATACGAATGAATGCGCTGATTATTTATATAAAAATGTGTATTTAATGCGCTAATTATTTACATAAGAAACGACTAATGCGCATATTATCTGCATATAAATACGAATTAATGCGCGAATTATGTGCACAAAATAGGAATTAATTCGCTGATTTATGTGCATAAAAATTAGAAATACGAATTATTGCGCTAATTATTTAAAAAAGATGAATTAATGCGCTAATTCTTGACACAGAAATACGAATTATTGCGCTAATTATTTTTTTAAAAAAATATGAATTAATGTGCTAATTCTTTACATGGAAATACGAATTATCCCGCGTAGACCACAACACGCGCTCCACTTCGCCGGCAACATTCCACGCGGTGGATTTGGATTTTTTGTAACGGCAATCAAACAAGCGGACAACTCTGAAAGACATACACTTTTAATAAAAACGCACCGCGACGGAAGTTCAAAAAAAGGGAAATAATCAGAAAACAACCATACAACGTAATCATACAATAACAACACAATAATTAAACACTTAATGTTTATAAAATAATAACCATAAAAACCGTTCACTGGAAATAACCATTTACCGATTATAAAACAATTTAAATAAGTGAAAATTAATTTTTACTGCACTTATTTCAAAAACATTAAAAGAATGCAAAGTGGGGAATGAAATTTAACACGGAGAAAAAGTGTAACAAAGAACACAGCACCGCTAAAAGTCTTTACAAAAGGAACAGCGTAGAGAAACGCAGAACAGCGGCACCATAGATGAACGCCATCCAGCGGTCGCCTTCTTAGTTAGCTTCAAACGGGAAATTATTAAATTTAAATTTTTAAGGATTTCAAGCACAATGTTCAATTTGCCGCTTATATAATTTTTCGATGTTTAAGTGTTAAAAAAGGAAAGAAATTTAATTCAATAAATAACTGACAATTTTCTATAAAAATATTTATTATAACGAAACCTATTGCAAGCAAACGACGAAATAACCGAAAAATCCAAAGTGAAAAATGAAACCGAAAAGCTGAGAAAATATTTGGATATAATCAAAATAAAAAAAACAAACAATTTTCTCACTTGTCACAGGAGCCACATAGGATCTGCTGCGCATGATGCGGACGCCACCGAATACTCTGCACTTTATCTGAAAAATCGCTTAAAACGGTGCTGGCGGTTAATTCATCCAAATCCCATAAAATCACGCTCTGATCCGCCGAACCGCTAGCCAAGACGTGCGGCGCCAACGTATTCCAGGTTAGACACAGGACGGCGTCCGAATGACCGGAAGTCGCCTAAGAAATTGCGAAAAATAGGACAAAAAAATTACTTAACCAACTACGAATTTACTCACCGCTGCGCCGGTCTTTTTCCGCTTTCTGCGGGCTTTTAATTCGTAGGCCGGTTCCAGGGCGTTGACGACGTCCACATCCCAGATCTGGATGACATCGTCCATGCTGCCCACGGCCACAAAGTTGCCTGCAGACGTCAGACGCACAACTGCATTATGAAAATATTCCGAACAATTTTGAAAAACATCATTTTCATTTCTTAGCGAATTTTTTTTAAAAATGATTTTTCCTTCTTTGCTCAGCAGAATTTTGTTTATATTTTTTTTCTGCAAGTAAGTTTTGTTTCGTTTATAAATAAATTTTCAAAATTTTATTTTTCTAGTTTCTGTACAGTTGTAATTAGTTTAATTTTGAAAATTAAGTATTGTGACCACCACGTTCAGAATACCAAAAGCGAGCGAACAGTACGTCAAGACAACGAATAATGTAGTGCAATGGCTTATTGACACAATCGACAAAAAACTGAAACAGATTGATAACGTTCAAAATGTTCAAAAATCTTGAAATTCTCTCTAAATGGTTTTCTTTTTATGTTTTTATCGCTTCCAAGACCGTCGTATTGAACGTATAATCGTAAACGTAATCAATGGCCATAAACGTATAATATACGCAGTACATGTAACAACAGAAAACGCAAAAGAAAAAAGATTTTACTGCGGACAATTTTAAAAAAAAGCGAAAATGGCACCTGATTCTTCGGTTTGTCCGGATTGGTAGTTCAACCATTCCAGCGCCAACGGATATGATGGCAAAATCATGTCGTGATGGATGTAGAAATCATCGTTCTCTTCGTTATACACTACAAATCCCACATCCATCGTGTCAAAAAATTATTGTAAGAATTACACAAAAAAATGGTGGAAAAATCAACAGAAAATTATAATGCGTAACAATGTAATAAAAAATGATACAGGAAATTTTATTAATTATGGATTAAAAAGAACTTACAGAAAACTGCAAGACAGTAATTATGGAATGAAAAAAAACAAAAAACTATAATAATTGTGTAATAATTACTGCAGTAAAAAAGAGAAGCAGACAAGTGTAATGCAATAATTATTGAATAAAAAAAAGAAATAGAAAACTGCAATACGGTACTTATACCATAAAGAAAGCGTGATAAAACACTGCAATAGATAATTATGTCAGTCATGGAAAATAAAAAGTGACAGAAATTAACCGAAAAACTAATATCAATGTTTTACCGCAGAAAAACACAAATGTGGCGAACGTTCATGCCGAATTTACCGTAAATTTCCAAAATATTGGCATCTTCGTCAACATGGCCCACCGCCAAGAGATTATCGCCGGGGCGGATCTGGAAATCCTCCGCTTCCGAATCCTCCTCCTCCTGAAACAAATATCAAGCGATTTCAATCACACAACTTCCGTTCGCAAGCGCGATCACGGTGCAACTCACCGCAGAACTCAGACTGAAAACATTTAATACATAAAACATATATGGACTAATTAAGGCGAGGTAACTGTTTTGCCTTCATTTTCAGAGGAGTTACAATAGCTACAGTTTCCCAGGTAGAAAAAAATGCTCTTTAAAATGGATGTTTTTTCGAAAATCGAAGATCCAAATAAAAGCACAACTGTGTAAAAGATCAAAAGGTACCGTGGGTCTAAAACGACGCTCGGGTCCAGCAGTACGTTCGATTCACTTAACTGCCATCTCCTCTCAAACCGAACCGCAAACAACCGCACGCGGGCTGCGTGTCTACGTTGCGGTGCTACCGCGCGCAGACTGCGATTTGATGAACGCTATATGCAGCCTGCAGGTAGCGTGGTGGTATGTTTACTTTTCTGCGCCGATGCAGAGGACCATTTTCGAAAAACAAAAACCCATATTTACTAGAATTAAAGTTTGGACAGTTCTACGCGCCTTGTAATCCATTGCCGCAATGGAATTGGCTGTTCTTGGTACCGTTGGAAAGACAAAATTATTTTACATACTGGGTTTTTTGGTTTTGGAATTGAGTCATTCGAATTCCAACGCTCAGTGGTTTTCTCAGTTAGGGGAATTAGTTTCATGTTTAAAAATTTATATCTTTACTATTTTTTACACAAGATTTTTTCCAAATAAATCCAATATGTAAAAAAATTATACGTTATATTTAGAAACAGCAAACTTGAAGTTGCCCCATTGGGTGCTTCAGCGTTGTTTTTTTGGGGCACATACAACATAATATTTTATATCCCGTTTGCACTTTTAGGCTTCATTTTAAAAACTTATATGTTAAAAAGTGCAATTTATAAGGTTTCTAATGAATCTTTGCACTTCGAGAACAGACCAACCAAAGGCGCACAACAAATTCTCAAAGTTGTCAATAAAATTGGCATGTTGGAAACAGTTACATCCCGTTAAGCGTCGCTAGTCATTTACAGTATTTTCTTGTTCAACGCGTGATGAATGAAATTTATTTTAACAAAAACTGTCCAATTTTTCTCTCACATAGAAGTATTCAAAATATCGACAAGCTGCCTTAACGCTCTAGTTGAACTAATGCCACTGCACTACAAACATTCGTCAGTCACATCAGCAACCAACAACAAAATAATTAGCACTAATTGCTTCCGTAATCAAATCGAATTATATATGGTCAAGAAAAGCACAGGAAATGGAAGTATGCGACACAAAAACATTTCATATCAACAACGTTTACTTATTTACATTTAAAAGCTAAAAACAGTACAGTCAGGAAAATAAAAGCGTATCTTATCAGCAAAATTTCGCAACAAAACCAGATCCAAAACGATTCATTTAAATTTTATTCGAAGATTCCAGTCATTCCAACACCAGCACAATATCATAAATTCTAGAGGAAAAATAACGTTCCATTTTATGTAAAATGGTGCGATCAATCACTAAAAACAGTAATTTATCCAAAATTTTAATATCAGGAAATTTGAAGAATTTCAGAAAATAATTTAAAATGTCGGAAGAGCGTTACATTATATGGGAAAAACGAAACGCAATGCACGAAAAAACTCCCACTCACATCATCCTTGACGGTGACGTAGGGATCGTCCTGGTTGGAGGGAAAGTGGGAGAGACTGCTGACAGCGAAACCCGATCCTTTGGGGTCCTCAGCGCCCTCTTCTTCCTCCCACTCCGCATCGCTCTCTTCATCGTCCTCCTTCTTCACTCGCTTTTTGTCATAATCATCATCTTCTGCTTCCGATCTATCCATGCAACAAACACACAGCGCCATAAATCCCAAGAAAACGCGGGCAGAAGCCAGAGAACCCACCCTGGCTCTTCTTTGGGTTCGTCACCGCGCTGCTCGGCAAACAAATCCCGCAGCTCCTCCGTGGTCAGGACGACCTGCGAAAAATCACCAATTTTACAAGGAAATTCATTGGTGATAGAGGAAAAATGGGATACCGTGTCGGGTGTGGATTTGGCGACTCCGCGGGGAATCTGCAGTATAATCAAAACATGTTCTAGCATGTTACAGTTGCCTGCAGAAGACTATATCGCCGTACCCATGCAGCACACGAGATGAAATTCATAATAGCGAATCCTCGCCAAATTGTTCGGACAAATACCCAGTTGATCCGGAGGAATAAATCTGGATGATTAAAACGATGGCGAAATTATCCAAGTTTAAACTAATTATTTTCTGCCTTCTGAAGTTGCAAATTTGCAGCTTGCAGATTTCGCAATCGAGCAGCTGGGCGTATAATCGTATTGCGTCCAGCGAACTACTACCTAACCGCCCAAAGCGGCAGTTTCAATAAATGAGTTTTTTATGCCCAATGTCGAAAACGGGGGTTTAAATGGTCAAGAGTCTGTCAACAGTCAAACTCAAACAGTCACAAGAATTTAGTTTTTAAATTTAGACTCTGAACAAAATTAATCATATTTTTAACGGAAAGGATTTTTGGGAAGTGCATTCGACTTTTCGTATGGCATTTCTCTGAATTCGTGGTTGCTGCATGAGTGCATGTTCCCAACTTCGCTCTCTCGTAATCTGGCTGTAGTGAAACGGAATAATATGGCATCACCCAAGAACTTACTATAGCTAGAAGGACTGGGAACGAACTGCGCAGCGGTCGACTACGTCATCACTGTCGCATACAGAAAGCACTGCTGTGCTAATGCTTACCATAGTCCCACAGACTTTGTGGTCCCTTTTAAAAGGTATTCTGAAGTTTTTTCTCATTAAAAGCTTTCTGAGACTTTAATATTATTATATTGAATATTTAAATCCCAGTTTCGGGGGGTAGAACTAGAAGAGAACAGAAATCTGCTGAGAAAACTGACGAAAACCGTGAAAAACGCGCATCTGTCCCCATGGCAGCCGCCCTTTCGTGTATGCGAGAGTGATGACGTCAAACGGTTTGTTACCAGTCCTTCTCACACTATAGTAAGTACTTGCATCACCACATGAACACTATGTATTCAGTAGATACTACGTACTCAGTTTTAAGCCGTAAACATTTTGCTACTTTACAGAAAGAAGACTTCGAACGTGTTTCTCGATTTAGCGCGTCAATTTTCCAGGCCAACACCGATTGTTCGCATTCAAAACCATTTTTCGTGTTGCCACATTGGCGTTGTCGTAATTTAACTACCGCTAACTGGCACTGGAACATTTCACCATCCACTGCGAAGGAATCCTTGTTTGTCTAAAGACGTATCTGTGGCAATCTGCATATCTTCCTGGAGATTTCACCTTACATGATTGGAACAATATGACGACGTCAGGTCATAAGGCGCGTTGTAATTTCGTAAACACAAGTAAGTGAATATTTATAGTAGTAAGTAAATTAGTTAGTACCCGAAATAGTATATCTTTGTTCACCTGTGTGTGGTACAACGTATTATTAGATAATCAAAAAAACATCACAATTTTACAACAGTAAAACTTCGTTTAACTTTTCTGCTCCTTCCATTTTCCCAAAACTGAGGCCGCATTCCCCGCTGTATCGCCAACGACAATCTTTGACGCAGAAATTTCCACCCAAAATTAGGCTGTTAAACTGTGTTTAACTTCTTCAAACCTACAAGGAAAAATAAATGTAATAGTGACTTTGATTTTTCCCTTTTAATTTCCAATTAAGTGTTTGAATAACAACACTGATGACTATAGTACGACGTAAAAATAAAAAAGCCGAAAAGCTGAAAGCAAACATTTGCTGAAAGAAAATGTAAATGCTGGAAATTAAAACAATGTCACGGTTTTTATTCACATTCTCATAGTGCTGTTGTTCACATTAAAACATATACATATGTATATCGTATTGCTCATTGATATATTTTCATGTCTATACTAAGTATGTATTATATACCGCAGACTTCAAAACAATTTTCATATTTCTGCAGTAACAGCCAGTGCTAAAACAAGAACCGGCTCTGTTCTGTTCCTTTCTGGTGGGCTGTACATTGTACATCCTGTACTTAGTCTGCTATATGCAATCAACGACGGAACCAGGCAATCTCGTCTTCCAGCCTCCCATAGAAAATGATTGTTGACCGCCGATTAAAGAAGTTTTTGTGCCAAACCTCAACGTCCCCAATATTAACACGGAACATCACATACTGTTCTGGACGAAATGCTTTGGAACGGAAGTCACACCGTCCCATACAATTCTACAGCAAGCACGCAACCGCATCGAGCAGTGCCCATATTCCAACTGTGTCGTGTCGGCCAACCACAGTCGCTTGGCGCAGAGCGATGGGGTCATTTTTCACCAGTGTGATCATTCGTGGGACGACCTGCCAGCGGAACGTCGTCCGTCACAGTATTATATCTTTTTTCTCTTGGAATCGCCGGTGCGCACGTGGGGCAACCTGGATGCGATTCGGGATTTTTACAATCTGACCTTTACATACCGCCTGGATTCGGATATCTTATCGGACGGATACTTTCGCGATTTCCAGCCGACGGTGTGGAACAGCAGCAGTGAACTGGATCAACTCCTACGAAACAAAACGGGGTTCGCCGTGACATTCGTGTCCAATTGTTTCTCGGTTCCCAGCCGCCGCGACGTGTATACGGCTAACCTAGCACAGTGCGTCAGCGTAGACGTCTACGGTGATTGCGGCACAAAACAATGCAATATCAGTACGCCGGAAATCTGCGACAGATTGGTGATGAAGTACAAGTTCTACCTCGCCTTGGAAAACAGGTTAGTACAATCTGTGCAGATATTTATTCCTGGCCGTGCAACGAGCTACAGAATACGTCGCAATCTTTTCCCTTTTTTTTGAAAATTTTCCAAAATATGGGCAGTAATTCCGTAATCTTGAATAGTACTGTACGAGTAAAAGTAAAAGGCTGCATAGCTGTCGCATAGCCGTTTTTGCCTTACTGCATGGATAATAATGTAACCGTAACTGTGTAGTAGGGATTCGGAAAAAAATTAGGCGGGATAAATTTGGGAAAAGCAAAGCGGGAAACAGTTCAGCAGTTATCGAAAAAACACAGGTCCATGGAACCGATTTATTAAGTACAGTATTACTGTACAGTATTAGTAATGAGTCTACGTACAGTCTGACTCTGCACCTCTGGTCCGACTTTTATCATAGCGCGGTCACTTTCTTTGCTGTCAGAACGGGCGCTTTTATCCTGCTGGCTGCTGTCCACAGACGGCCGTAGCCCGCCATTGTCTAAGGTGGAAGTTTGTCTCGCCATTACCAAGTCGAACAATTACCATTTCGACGCGTTACGAAGTCGAGCGAGCGTTACACTAAACCGTCTAATTTGTCTTAGGTTCCGAAGCTTTTTTAGAATTGTTAACGTTCTTAGACTAATTACGTTTTGAAGTTTTCTTAGGGTTGTAGCGTGGTCTTGTGACAGTCTACCGTCGACGCAGCGTTAGTCGCACATAGTGGTGTTGAAGATTACTGGGCATGGACCACGCTATGTCGAACATCGAGGTCCCGCGACCGATTTTATGAAAACCGTACCGTAATTGAGCAGCGTTTTGGAATCTTTAAGTGCTGTAACGCTGTGATTTTCTGCAGTGTTTGCAAAGATTACGTCACCGAGAAGATCCACCGGGCCTTAAGCAACGGCGCGGTGCCGGTGGTGTACGGCGGGGCCAACTATTTCGCCCACTTTCCGCCACACTCCTTCATCAACGTTCTGGATTTTGCCAGCCCGAAGATCCTGGCGGATTATCTTGTCTTCCTGAGCGAAAACGCCTCCGCGTACCGCAAGTATTTTGAGTGGCGGATGAGTCCGGTAACTGCCCGGCTGGCAGTGGATATTGATGAGATGTCTAGGTGCCAACTCTGCACGATTCCTAACACGCGTCAGCCACCGCACAAAATCATTACGGACATGGGGAAGTGGTGGCATGGGAAAGAGTGGTGCGAAGCCCCACAAACGCAGCACAGAGAATGGTTACAGAATCCAGTCCTTCCAAACGAGTAAATCTGCACGCTGGCATTGTATTATAGTACGAATTTTTTGTTTTATTTGGTCTTTCATGCGTATTTTCGTTTTGTTGTGTCAAATATGCTGTAAATAATTATTCGTTTTTGACTTTTTCGGCAGCGGCTTGCTATCTTATTTTCTTATCGGTTTGTACGTCAAAGCGATAACCTCATTTGGAGCTCATTGGGCCTCATTTTGCGATTCGTATTGGAAATTGTATTGGAAGAGTTCAATGTCATGATCGTCTTTGGGTCAAATTGAGTGTAATGTACGCATAACTACGGTCTACGGGGAGCAAGAGGAAAGGAACTTCTTAACAGCCATGGGTTTATTCATTTGGGCGCGATGGTTGTGCACCGGGTCCTCTACGTTCTCACATTCATGGCAATTTGGCAAACAAACAGTGAACATAAAACAGTAGCAGCACAAAGTGTACAAGTTTACGAGAACAAAATCATCATATTTTTCAAATGCCAAGCAACCCAAAAGGAACACCACCAGCAATTTCAGTTATTCAAAACATTTTGCCTCAACAATGGGCTTAAGCTGAATTCATTTTGCACTTTACACAACCAGCTGCAATCCATTACCACAATTCTTTAACACACATGGAAACTTTAAATTTCTGCAGTTCGCAGATCAACCATAAATTATTACATTAAATCATTTTCACAGATTCAACGTTCAATCTCAATACTTGCTGGAACTGACTATTAATACAAATTACTTTCAATCATTCTCACAAATTCAACTTCTTATTTCTCAGTTTTGTTGGAGATGACCAAAATACAATGCATACAATGAATACATTTCATCATTTTCACAAATTTAATCCTTAATTTCAGCATTTGCGGAAATTTACCACAAATAATTTCATTCAATCGTTCATTTCACGAATTCAATCACTAATTAAATGTTTTGAATTTTGCTGGAAGTGACCGTTAATGATTATTACATTCAACCATTTTCACTGACCTTTCAGTAACCAAATTTCCATGAAAACTATGCCATGACTCAATGCATTTTAAATAAATAAACAATAATAATACCATTCACACTGAAAACTGCAACTATTTACAATACCATTCACACAGAGAATTGTCACTGAATAACAAAAACGATTTAACGTCAACTTAATATGCACAATCAAAATGTCGCAGTATCAGGCGCCGTTACGCCCGCCCCGTTTGATATTTTTCTGGTTACGCTGACACTCGTGCCAATTGTGACCTTTCTCGTAACAGGAGCCGCATACGTGAGAGTACCAACATTCTGCTTCTTCACGCTGGCATTGCCCTTCGTTATACGCCCAACAGCTCAGCTTTTGCGGCCCGTCGCCACTATAATTATTTCCTCGACCATTGTACGCTTCACGATCGTACCCGCGAGACCGACCATCGTGACCACCTCGAAAACCTTCGCTCACAGCGTAAGCGTCAACCGGCAACAGTGAACCAGCGTGAAAACACTGATGAATTAAATTTCCACACGCACTGAAGTCATTCAGTGAAAAACCAAACCGCTCCGCATATTGCCGGAAACCAGCATCAAATTTCACAATAGCTTTTGGGTCATAATCTGGAACCTTATTGGATAAGAACTCAACCTGCTCGGCATATCCACACAACGTTTCTGCGTGGCTCGGCATTCTACTCAACTGCTTAATCAACATAAGCGACCCATTCATGAATTCTGCGTATGTTAACTCTAAGGCGCCAACTGGTTTCTTCTTCTCTGCTTGCGCGCGGGAATACACCACCTCGTGTGGTCGTGGCAAATTTCTTGCCAACTTCGACAACGAGTCACCTTCAAGTTAAAAGCTTCTCTTAGGCCAAACTCACCATTGCGGAATTGTTCGACCGGTGGAATAGGACTGGGACTGCCACGTGGAAAGTCAACCGGATCCGGCATGACCCTTCGGTCGAATTCTGCCAACGCGGATGCGGGCTTGCTGACCTTCTTGAACGGTGCAGGTCGAACAATAATCACTGACTCTTCACTTCGGCCATCCGTGATGTAGTTCCAAATATCTTTGCGGTCGCACAGGGGGATGGCATCAGCGGAGTCGTCCAAAGGTCATCTTTGGATAGGAAAAGGATTCTCAATGATAACAAAACGCTCCTACTTCAAAATGGCAACAGTGCTTTCACACAATCCCAATGATTTAGCCAAATCATTGACCGTATTACCCGACACGTTTAGCTGTGAATTACTCTTACCACCATGGCCAGCACATCCGGGCTGGTGATCACGCATACGTTTAACGAGTTCGGCTTTGTTGCCGGTAACCGTGAGCACGGGCTCTCTTACCAGGACCTCCAATTCTTCACATGTCATAACTTCAAGTTCTTCCTGCGTTTTACTCATTTTACCGAAAATTTAGAAGAACGGCACAAAGTAATTTTACAAACTGGAAGTTGTTGTCGAATACAATCATGCTTAAATAGACTATTGCTTCGTCCTGCTCCAAATCCGGCATTCGTCTTCACTCCATTCATACGCTCGTGGCAGGGCGACCCTTTGACCTCGTTATACTCAGATTCTTTCGAAGAATCTTTCCCATTTCGAGCGTTCTTTAATTCGGGACGGCAGTTCACCTGTGTCGACAATTACTGGTGTGAAGCGGCCTCACACACACGCGACACGCAACTTTACCCTAAGCTTTTTTATACGACACTGATCATGATTCACGAGTAATAGGTGTACGCTTATTTAGACAAACCATGGCCTGAGTGGCGGACCATTGGCCGCTTTCGGTTTACAGGCGACGCGAATAGTGCCGTTTTACAAAAATGAATCAAAGTCGAATGTGCCATTGGTGGCGAAACGCATGCCACCTGATCAACCTGTTTTTGTAAGTAAATTTCATCTTTGAGCAGTTTCAATTTACAATTTTGTATTTGTTTCGCTTGTTGTTCACTCTGAATTTGGCCCGCCTTTCGAGCTACCTACGGGCAAAAAAAGATGCCTCTGGGACATATTTTCGCCTTTTGTATAGTTTTTAGTATCCGCCCACTTATTTGCCAAAGACAGTTTTCTTCAAAGGCAAATTAATATGTGCGTTTTTACTTTAGCTCTTCTTCTCAATATTGGCGTACGTCGCGAAACCACACCTGAGGGCTCGCCAAACGGTACGGAATGCAATGGTCCGCGTTTACCGCTACAAGAACTCGCCAGTTTTGATATTAAGGCTGTAGATCGCTTAGAACTTTCCTTCGTGACAGTGCATTCATTTAAATTTTGCATTTATTTAACGCAATATTGCGTTTAGCCAACTTCCATTGTTGAACTGTCCAAGCTGCTCCAAAGCGCGGCGTTTGTACTTATCAGTTCATTATAAGCATTAAATTCGCGGCCGTTAGAAATACCATCATCGATAAGAAGTTTGGCTGTGACAGTTGCCGGAAGCGCGTCGTAATTCAGACACGCTAAAAGTGTGTTTCTCCAGAAGAGTGCACGCTCTGAAACAAACCGAAGTCTTACACTCTCGAATTTTACTACATGTTTGTTGGTTTAAGTATCACTTAAGAATAATAACGCAATTAGTTCTGCAATAATTTCGTAGGAGCCATTAATCTGTGACAAATGCTGCTTAAAATGTGAAAGACTCATTCGTTGATTTATAGTTAGGGGTAGTACTTGCTAGTTAACCGAGATAAAAGCCACTGAAACTTGCAACGTTTTGCTTTCCACTTGCACAGCTGCGGTTAGTTAAAAGTTTATGTGCACAGATTACGGTAATGGTTTATTAATTGTGGTACTTCAAATTTACCTTCGCAGTTAAGTAGAACATCGACAATCGCTCGGTGAAGATCAATTTGGGAGCTGCGGAAATTCGCCAGTAATTTTTGCGTGTCAACAAAATGGCAAAAAACATGCCAGTCAGTCAAATAATCAAGACAATTCCACCGGGCCAATGGATAGCGCAGCTTAAGGTCATCAGCGCTCGCCACATAAGACTCGAAATTGGCTTGAGTTGTTTTGTCTGGACTTGCGCGAAAAGCAATGTGCGTTAACAGTACCAAAAGGCCTTTGATGAAAAGTTCTGGAGTACTCGATGACGGGAAAGAATTCGAATATTGTACTCCAACCAGATGTTCATCAAGATCAGTCTTCTTGTAAACTCGAAACCACAGCTCCAAACGGCGAAGGTTTGGTAGACATGTTTCGTAGAAACTGAGGATCCTCACTGCGGAGCGTATCATCGTTTCACTTTCGTCTAGCCCTACAAGAGTACCATAATACTAACTAATTTTAACAGCTTGTACGTTCATAATTCATGCACGGATACTCGGCTGGAACGCTGAAAATGTTATATTCTATGGTGGCACCAGAACTGCTGAAGAGCGTTAACTTTCAGTAAAGTAGAGCGAACCTGCGAACGCCTCCTGACCGCCTTAAAAGGGGAAATGAGCTAAGAACCTGCAGTTTTAAAACAGATCGATCGACCGTTTCGGTAGCGGGTTTTGCTCGTAATGCCAAACGCAGACAAATGTTTGAGAGTATTACCAGAAAACGAAAATTTATTTTCCGGAAACGTTATTCCAGTTTATCTTACAAAAAGCACGTATATGTTATGAATTTAGCACATATATAATTTTAATTTAGGACATATAGGATTTAGCTCGTATATAGTACATAGACACAGATTGTTGCGCTGTCTACCCTATGTAGTTAGTAGTTACATACTTACCTGTATTTCGCAAACAGTAAACGTTGTCGGGGTTCATTGTACCCGAAACCTTGACGGTAATGGCTTCTAAGACACCACGAAAAAGCAACATTGTGAACACCGTGGATGGCACAACGATTTTGTATCCAGACTGGATTTCATCGGAACGAATGTACAACCACAACCAAATGGACATAAGGATCGCACTTTCGACAAACTGAAATAAATCAATCGCAATAAGTGACAACCACAATCGTAGGCGGTTTTTTTCAACGACAAAGTAAAACAAAGCCTCGCTATTCGTCGACGCCGATAGCAGTATGGTCACAACTGCCGCCCTTAAAATGTCCACAACCGCCGATTTATGAGCCTCGTATCCGCGAAAGAATTTTTG